AAGGAAGAAATTATTCATCCTAATATTCTGATAAGATATAACTTAAGCAGTTCTTTATTTTAAAATGAATAATATTGCTATTGCTCACTTAGACTTCCAATAACCTATAAAAACTAAAGAAAGTGGTGATTAACAAAATGGAATATGCATGAGCTTAGATTTAACAAATGAGTTGGTTTTTGTATGCAGAGTCTTTTGTCCCATACTAACATGTGACACCTGAGCTGTCGTACAGCTGACAACATCTTAAACTGCAGTTATAATTACAGGGATGTCTGTGGCTCTCTGGATGTTGATGTGATGGTTGTGTTGGTATTTTCAGTAACTAACACCTTGTGCTTCATGTTGTCATATGGTCTCAATATTTAGACAATAACTTAAAAAATATGCAATAATGATCATTTTGTTTCGTTAAATGAATTGTTGTGACTGTTCCTCGGTAAGAAACAAACTCTTGCCAGTAAGGGTTCACTAATCAAAATTAACACACTTAAATAACTTTAAAACAATCCTCCGACCCCAACCCCTTGCTTCCATTCATACTCTTTGACCCTTTTAAAAGGCAAGACCTTAAAATATGAATAAAATCAGGGGATGAAAATAAAACATTTTAATTAACCAGGGTGTTAGCTAACAAAGTACGTACAGACATTTCAGTCAGAAAACTCAGATTTATGCTCTGCCTCATTTATTGTTACAGCAGCAGAGCATTATTTATGTTCGGGGACCTCACCACTCCTCGCAGTTTGAGTTTTATATGCAGATACTTTATATGCAGATCATTCCCGGAGGCCCGGATTTTGTTTATGTGACACATAAATAGAAACAAAAAGGACAGAAAATTAATTAACCGGAGGACATCTTCTTTCTAAAATAAAGTTCAATGAGCAGTACCATTGAAGGGTTTTTTACGATGTCGTAAATGAGATAATCAGGCTCTTCTGGCTGCAACCAACAGCTTATCAAACATGCCCTTTCCAATATGGAGGTTGTCTTTAAACTGTCAATGCTCCACCCTTTTTTTATGTTGCTCACCAAGCTAACTGTGTTACCTTGTTGTGGTGTTCGGCCATTATTTTGTTGTCCTTTTGTTTGGCATTCAGCATGCTTACGTTTTATATTGTGTGAAAAGTAAAGCATGTTTAGTGATATGAAAGAGAGGGTTTTGTGCACATAAATCCTGACTAACTGCCGGATAAAGGCAAGAGAACAGTCAGAGTTTAGTCCCTACAGCAAAACACAGGATCACAGTCTGCAGATAATCAATTAAGTGAAATTGGTTTGCAGCTAATTGTATTACAGCAAGCGCCGCAAGCTGTCGTTCCTCCATACAGGTCAACAGCCACATGCATGGGCTGGTTACTTTAACAGACACAGCTTACATACAATGAGAACTTCATTTTGACTGCATTGGCAAGTGCCTGCACTGGATCAGATAGAACAAATTACCAGTATTTTTGCCTAAAATGTGTACAACCAACTAGTGATTTCAGTGATGAAGGTTGATGACGTATAATTGTGTTGTCAACTAAACATGCTTGTCCCTAGTTGACACTGTTTGATTGGTACTGACCCAAATCTAATGAAGTCAAACTTTATTTAAAGCACTTTTAATACGAAAGGATGTGACACAAAGTTATTTACTGTCCTTAAAAAAAAAAACTATATATATATATATATATATATATATATATATATATATATATATATATAAAATAACCAAAAACATGAGAAGGTTAATTATAAGTAGTGTGCTAATCTGAACAGGTGAGTTTTGACTCTGGATTTGAAGAGAGGGAGAGAGTCGATTTTCCGGATGTCAGGTGGGTGTAATGCTGCATTCGAGTTACCTTAGAAGTGAGATGTCAGAGCTGAAAATGACGTCACACCTGAGTTCCCAACGTTTCCGTTACCAAGTTGGAAAAAAAGCAAAAATCAGAGGCCTGAAACATCTACAGTTACTTAGTGCGGAAGTTATTTTAGCACTCGCCTTATATCCGGACAAGGCAAGCACTCAAATAAATTACGTAGATGTAGCCATCTTGTTTCAGGTCTCCAATTTTGCTTTTTTTTCTACCCAACCCACCCAAATACAACACAACCCACAGATACAGCTGGCATGAAAGGCATTGCTTTAGAAATGTATCAAAATAAGATATACTTGTCACAGACATGAGTCATATTTGTAGTGAAAAACAATGCGACAAACTCCTGATGTTGTGCAAAGAAACTTTTTCAGGGTTGAACCATGACACCACTTTCATACCACAAAACAACCAAAGGTCAGTCATGTGCTTTTTGTTTTGTTCTTCTGCTTGTGTCTGGTGTGGTGTACCACAGCAGCACAACCGGAGCTCTCTGAGTGGCCGGTTTAATGGACATCTTGGAAAACATGACACTAATATCTGATTCAGACGGATCTTAATGTGGAGTCAGAGCCACCGAAGATCCGGCCTGAGCAGATAGGGCATCAGAGAGAAGAGGCCTAATGGAGTTTTAATAGATGAATGCTGGCAGGATGTATCTCTGGCTCCTCGATAACAGCAGGATGTGGAAATCCAGACAATGGTTTTTAAATGGGGATGGATAGCGTCGATTGGAGTCAAACGCACAGATGGAAAGAGCTGGTTTCAGGAGTACAAGAAGAAAGAGGTCAAGGATAGAAAGAATGAAGCACAGTAAATGTAGGAGTCAGAGCTTATTAGTAAAGCACCAAGGAACCTTGACAACTCAGTGACAAATTTTTTGGTTTCTGGGGGTCTTTGACGCAGGCGAGCAGCAGCAAGTGTTTGATTTAAAGCAAGGTGTTGAGGTCTGAAAGGACGCGTCACTGTCAGTCTTTAGCTATTTTTTCTTCTTTGCTCTAATGATGTTTCCATATTGTCGAGCGTTGGATGTGGATGTGGCAGCCTGAGAGGGTCACCGCTTTGAGGCCGGATGAATCATCTGACTGTTTATTGATTGACTTTTCAAAAAAAAGGGCAAACACAGTTCATTCGCAGGTTTATTGAGCTGCTCACTTTGTGTGAAAGGACAGAAAAGGTTATCCGTGGTGTGAAAAACAAATACATTCATACATTTGCAGAAAGCTTTTTCCTTTAATCTTGAATCAGATGATTAAAAAGATGTTTTTTTAAGACTTGATCAGAACTGGCTCACAACCGTGTGCATGAGAGACAGTGCTGAATGTGAGAACAACACCATTAAACAAATGCCATAAATGCCTCTTTGGTGCCCTTCATTATATCTATAAAAATGATATTGAAATATGGTAAAATATGGTATTATTCAATATATTATATGGTTATTGTAAAATGTTACCTACCTTTGTCTTATCAAAGGTATCCAAACAGGATCTATTATGTTATTAAAAGTTTGTTCTTCAACAACACCATGATCACTGCCAGCATCTGCTGCCTCAACCTCTGATTTTCAGCCTGTTTTCAGACGTGTTGCAGTTATGTGCATTTTATAAAGACAGATAGACACTGTTTTTTAACTAGATGAATGCGATAACGACAATTATGAAGCTATCATCAGCTGCTTCATGTTTGTTTGACAAAATATAAGATATAAATCTGCCCCTTTTTATTATTTCATGCAGTAAATATAGCTGTATGTTAAGGCTGAAACTAACCCCTATTATGAAAGCAAACTAGCCCCTGATTATTGAAACAAACAATACGCTAATCAGATAACAAACTAATAATAATTTTGGGATGGGCTAATAGCTGGTTGCGCCAGCTCTTCTACCGCGCCCACTTAGTAAACCAATTCAAAGTGACTTCTCTGCACAGTCACTGAGATCTTGTGTTTATTAATCATGTCAAATAAATGGTGTTCAACTACAGCAGTTTTTAAAGTGTCTTTTTGCAGTCACTCAGTTTGTCAGACTTTAATTTTCTGCTTGATCAATGACAAAACTAGTCTCTTCCAAACATCCACCGAATGTCACACCTGAAGTTCAGAGGAAAGATGACAAATGTTCCTCTTGTCAAGTCCCTCATGCATTACTGATGTGCTCCCTCGGTAAACAAGTTTGGCTTTGCTACATTGAGGGTAAAATGCTTCTGAAGTTAGAAAGTTCTGGGTTGCGATGGTGTTGAATCTGCAATTGCTGTTCTATATTTGTTGTTTACCTGTCTGTCACTTGCTGTTTTGCCCAAGAAGTCTCAGCAGAGGAGCAGATGAACAGCAGAGAACAGATGGATCACCTCTGAGCAGGTACGCTTCAGAAAACAATGTTACAGCATGAAAAATACATGCAAGGGCAAAACTTTATTATCACCTACAACTTATATTCGTCAGTGTTACAACTGACATGAATACTGTTGAGAGTGTTGACTCTAAACGTCCTTACATACCGGGAGCGTTTTTTGTGTGCAATTATTTCGGACATCAACATTTTTTTTCGAACCCGTATCCTGTCAGTACAAGCGTTCACATCAGCGACGTTTCCCCGTCCTGCGATATTACTGCATTTATTTTTTCGTATCAAAGTTTCGCATACTGTGTGTCCACTTCTGACCAATCAAATTTCGTGTTGTTGCGACGTCAGATTCACCGGTATATCCAACATGGCCGACTGGCTGATTGTTTACGTGTCGGAGAACAGAGTGTGCTTTTGATAAAAAACACAAATATTACAAAGAAGGACAACTTGTGGAGAGTCATAGCTTCGGATTTCTCATATGACGATGGTTTGTTTGCTTTAACAGTTTGCTAAACATCTTTGTTTTGTTCCGACTCAGTACATGCTATCATGACAGACAGTCTGCTGTTGTGTCAGTCTTCTCGCCTCCACTCGGGACGCGTCTTTTTTCCCCCCTGGAAAGTCGCAAAATCGCATCGCGCTTGATTTGTATAGTCAGGCGCGTCAAAATTCGCCTCAGAATATTTCGTAATTTCGCGTTGTATTTTTGCGTCTTTCCCGGTGTGTATGGACCTTAGTAGGTCACATCAGAAAGCTTGAGTGGAATACCAGGACTACCTGTATCATATATTCTCTGCTCACCTTATGTTCCAGGCCTCTAGAGCGTCCTAGCTTTAAGGTCGTCATGAAATTGAATAAATATTTTCCTTTAAAGAGCACTTGACACACAAAGGGCTTTAAACACACTGGAAAAGATAAAACTTTATTTCTCCCTGTCGTGACAATACAAAGTCAACAAGTGCAATAACAATCCAACTGAAAACGGTACTGGACTTTTCTATCTAGTATAAATACATAGACAGAACGTGGTGTACATTATCAACACCACCACCACCACCACACATAAAAAGTGAGGTATCGACCACTACAAAGCTTCTGTGTACAGGTGGGTATTCAACTGTAAGGCAACTGTTACCATGACAACCTGGAGAGACTGAAACAGATGTGTACTCCCTTCCTCCCATTGTTTAGTTTTTTTTGTTTGTTTAGTTTTTTATTAAGGAAGGAGACTGAGCTGATACGATTCACAGTACCACATCACATCAGTCCAGAGTCCAGACTGTTAGTTTAGTTCAACAAAAACAGAAAACAGCACAAAACCATTGAAGTTGTAACATTTTGAAGAAACGAGGAGGGGGAGGTTCCTCAACTGGATCTTTAGGGAATCCATCTGTGACCCTGCTACTGCTTGTCGGAGGCAAAATGAAGTTGTTTTTATTTCCCTGGATGTCATGATATTGTTTGTGGTGATAATAAATACAAGCCTCCCTTGACTTATCACAGGAACACAAAGGATGGAGTCTAGAGAGCCATTGTTTAAAACAACATATCAGATCTTTACTACTCTAGTATCTGGGGTCATTAAATCTCCTCTATGCTGCTCAAGGCTGGGTAATGCTCATGAAAAGAAAGGTTCAACTAGTAATGTCTTTACTTTATACCTTCAAGTAAAAACAACATCAATAGCGCTCAATTTGATACCTCGTGTTCCCTCTGTATTTCAAAGCAGTCGAATGAAAGGAACCATTCAAATCCCATCATTGTGTTTCTCCTCAAAAGATCTGAACAAAAGTACATTTACACTGCCATCTCTGTCCAAAATACTTCAAACTGTAGGGGGAAAAAAAAACTCAATACGAGAATTCTACATCTTCTGGGTAAGGTTTGGGCAACAAAAGGGAAGATACTGCAGTAAAAATCCGTCCTTTATAGACGTTTAAAGTTACCATTTCCTCTATCAAACTCATTTGAAAATCCTACATATAATATTTCCTGACTCATAAGGTTCCAACAGTTAAATCACAATCACTAAAAACAGTATTTCACCCCTTTCTAGCTACTATAATGTTACTCTTTCAAAGGTTAATGTTAGCTAGCACATGCTAATATAGGCTAATGCTAAGTAGCTTGACAATGTTTTTGATTTTCAACCATCTAATGGCACTAATAATAATCTTCAAGCCAGCAACAATCAGATAATTTAGCCATTTCACTTTGAATGAAAAAAAAAACACATTCTAGCTAATATGATGTTGCTTTTTTGTCCAATAGTCTTAAAGCTGCAGTAAAGAAATTTGGTTGGTGTTGACATTGGCGCCCCCGTGGCTAAAAGTGATACCTCTTATCTATTATCATGTACAAGTAAGAGTAGCGCTTTGAGACATTTGAATCCTGTTGTCTGTTCACAGTACACCTCATAACTCATTTTAAGTACCAGTTGTGTAAAATATTAAAAAGGCAGTTTTTTTAGTCTGCTGTCAATCATCTGGTCTGACGCCTACCCCTCAAAGCCTTTTAAAGCAATAAAAATTACTGCAGTGAAATGATCCGTCTTGTTGCTTTTTAGTTTGCACTTAAAGAAGCATCAGTTTCTGTTTCAGTCTGTTTAACAACCAGTCAAAAATTCCTCACTGTGCCTTTAAATAGCAGGCACTAATATAAGCTAATTTTTAATGGTGGATTCATAAAGTATATTGTTTTAACTTAAAGTATAGCCAATTTTCCCTCGTAATTTTACTTTTTTTTTTTTTTTTTTGTCGCTGATGAATGTGTTAGCAGTAATATTACATGGTTTAACTCCTATCTTTATATAATTTGCAAATCTGTAGGACCTTATCCTTTTTGAAAACAGCAGCTTTTGTGGGAATTTGGTGAATTTTGGTAGAGCTGAAAGAGAAGAATGACAGTAACATCACACTATTTTCCCCTAAAACTACAACATTTAGCTATTTTCAAAAAGAAATTGCGACCTTCAAAGCTTTCAGTTAAAATAATTATTTTTAATGTGAAAAAAATATCTAATTGAATGGAGTTTTGGCCATTTTGCTCGCCCTTGTATCTGGATTCAGGCATTTTTTAACCCGAACAGTTTTTGTACCACTTGCTTTAGACTAACTATAGTCCATGCCCTCCATATAACATGAAACGATACTAAGCCCTAATGCTGCTGCATCTGTCTCAAATCTTCTCCATGTTTTCTGTTTTTTGTTCTCACTCTGGGAATAAGGAGGCAGCTACAGAGAGGAAAGCCAGAGAGTATAAAACAGAGCCAGTCCTGATCTCTGGGCCAATTATTTCACTTGGACACATCCTTTTCCCCTGCCCTGAAAGCTCGAGCCCGCTAGGATGCACACGCAATTAAACTTTAGCCACTGAAATGGGAATTAACTCGCTCTAACAACTCAGCAAATATGAATATTACTGCTGATAACTGAGGATAATGCCTGCAGCACTTGACCAGAGGTAAGAGGGTTCACTTTAACTTCATAAAACAGGCGGGATAATCGTAACGGGCAGTCTCATGACTTGGATTGTTCCTGTCTGATATTAGTAGAAATTCAGCACACGTACAGCCTCAGCAGCTGCCGGATTAGCAGCCAGAGATGCGAAGATTGGGACAAACACCCCTCTCCTCATGTACCTGCCGTCTGCCCACCTGGTCCCCACACACTGTCACTCATGCACAGTCTGGTGCCAGCAGCTGCTTTGTCTAAAGAGAATGTATCACAGTATGTAACAAAGGTTTGGATAAGAGTAAATCTGTCTTTAAATTATGACTATAAAGCTTCAATAATAAGTCAATGATGGAACGTACCGATTTACTATGTTGTTATGGTCATTTCTTCACATAAAAGTGCCAAAGATCTTTAATAACTTCTCTCGGGAAAGGTTTCATGGTTGATATTTCAAATTTTTTTGTTTGAAAAAGTGTTTTAAAGACACTGAAGATGTGAAAAGAGCATAATTTTGCTTAGTTTGATCATTTCTTGGACAAAATAGTTTGTCTTTGAGTTGAGAAAATGGGTAGAAAGTGTAAACTGTACTTGAGTCATCATTCAAACAACTTTAAAGGGTTCAATTTAAAAAGAGGGCATTATGTTTATTTTTAGGGGTATATTATGATCTACAGCTCAAGAGCTTCCTTATTCATCTCAGGCTCAACCTCCGTCCCTTTTCTACTCCCCTTCCTCTGATACCACTTCGCTCTCTGGAGCCTCCTCCACTGTTGCCATGCCACAAAGTCATTATTGTTAACTGATGTGTTTTTGATAAATATGAGGACCCTAAATCTAAAAAGTAAGGAAAATTAACAAGACAACCCCAAACAACTCAGAACAGAGCAAGACTTTTCTATGTGGTGAGTTTAAGATTTACTACGCTCCGTTAAACCAATCAATGACGTCACAAATTGAGTCAGTCTTGTGTTGCCCGAGTTGTGATTTCCTGAGGCCGTTCAAAGCAGCCAGTTGTGTCATCCTTAAAATGACTCCAACAAAAATTTTCCTCCCAAACTGTGTCCGTGATTAGCCTAGTTGATATCTTAACCACATACTTGTTTTTTAAATATGACAAAGTATAAAACCACCTCTTTAACCAAAAATTCAGACACTGGGATGAACAAATACATCATGTAGGTCACTTTCTTGAGAAAAAACGACAATCATTTACCTTATTGTAGCATTTGTTTGTTTGCAATTTGATCTTATACTTCCACATTATGGAAATGTTTCAGCAGGAGTAGTTTTAAGTCATCAACATATCCATTTTTTGGATTTAATTTTCATACTGTATGAACTGAACAATTTATGTGAAATAGTTGATCCACCCATTGAGTAATTCTTAAGGCTGCAGAGGCACGAAATAAAAGTTTTTATATTCTTTTTTTTCATAATATATAATCAAAAAACTAGACATCACCAAGTTCTGAGCTTTTGGTTAATTCCAGGCTGTTACTTATTATTCCAAACATCCTTACCAGCTTAATAACATTTAAAAAAAACACAATACGCTACGCTACCTTAGCAGAAGGATCAATAATGCAAGCAATGATGTGCTGCAGTTATATTATTTTTACATTTCTTCATACAGAGCTGAAACAAAAGTAGTTCATGACTGTCTTGGATACCAATTCATACTCCAGAACTAAGTGTCATAGACTTAACCTTCACGTTGACTATAAACTGAGCTGAACCCTTTGTGACACACCTCAATGACTGTCCGGTGCTCATTTGGCTGCTCCCATGACTTGAACACAAAGTCATCCTTCCCATTTAAGCTACTGTACATTATTGCTGACAGTGGAGGGGCATTATTTTTTTTTCTTCATTTCTATTATGGCTAACCATTTACAATTGTCTATTAGCAGTGTGGGATGTAGCGTGCTCCTTGTAAAAGAACCAAATGGAGATTCATTTGCATCATATTGCTAATGGAGCTGTTTTTCAGGCATCTCCGGTAATGAGGAAGGGCACACAAGTCATTGGATGAGGTTACCCTGGCAACTGTCTCACATATTATAAGTGATGGTCTTTAATGGGCTCCCAGGCTCAGAGCCAGGGGTTAAGGTCAACTTAGCATAAAGCATCCCTGATCCTCTTGAATGTTTGGGATGAACTACTTATTGAGTGTCAGGATTCCGAGTTCCCTCACCACCACGAACCAAAGAGAAAAAAATCTCAACAATGTAAAAGATCTACAGCAGTTTAACTGTATGGCGTTGTGTCCTTGTAAGACACGTTAAATACAGCGAAATCACTTGCTTTGCAGAAAGAAGACCTAAAACATTAGATATAAGATAGTGTTTTTCATCATGGCTGCAGAGACATTTTGCTTTCAGCAAGTAACAAAAACATCCTACTCTACTTGAGATGCTCAGCATCAACCTAAGCTGTTACATGTTCTGAATGTTAACCACTCACACGTTTCTCTGATTAGTTCACATAAATAAATCACCAAATAGATAACCCACATCTGTGTCTAACTGCTACTGAACACAAACTGACACAGCAGTGTTATAAACATGTTCTATCTAGAAAGATGAGCGTTGTACTTTAAAAACAGGCCGGCCTCCTCAGTTGCCAGTACAGTTTATCCAGTTCAGTCTGTATTTGTTTGGGATACTCTGGGCCTTGGCAGCCATTTTTTAGGGATCACTGAACACCTGTGAGCGGCTGAATGTGTCTGTCGCTGTGGCAGCAGAAGCAGAACAGTCCTCTGTGTTTCCATATCAGCCAGCCTTCTAATGGTGCCGCTGTCAGTCCCCTCGAGTTTTTGTGCTCTTAAGAAAGGGTCAGTAGTCACTTCTAACTACTACAATATGGCTAGCCCACCACTGGTGTTAGTGTCTGTAGTCCAGAGAGGGGCTTCTGTTTGGCATCCTCCCGAACCAAGTAAGGAAACAGGGTGTTGCTACTCTTCAGTTCGTCCTCCCGCAGCATCTTTCTGCACAGAGAGAGACACAGAAACATGTAATTAGTGTTAAAAAAAAAACATTTTTATTAGGTCTACTTTATGTTGTTAGCAGGAAGCTTCCAACCACATCCACCAGCCAGCTCTCAGAGGGTCGGTTTGTATTTTTTTCACGGACATGGATGAGATCAGAGATTTTTTTAGATGCTGTGCCCATGGACCTTTACCCTGACAAATCTCCCTCAGGTCGCCTTTAGGATAGGGCTGGGCGATAAAACGATAAGGATATATATCGAAAATTAATTTCCTTCAATATCAATATGAAACATGGTCAATATGCATTTGGTACACTAATTATGGGAAAAAGTGTATCACGACATATTTGTTTCATATCAGTTGATACTGACATCTATAATGATACAAAAAATAAAATTTAACAGCATGTCTATTGGTACACATGTTACCAATAAGCACCATTAAATTTTATTTAAGAGTAACGGAACATTTAAGATTGACGAGTGATTATTTTATATCATGATAAATATTGATATCGACTGATATGAAAAAAATATATAGTGATGAACTTTTTCCCATATTGCCCAGCTCTACTTTAGGATAATTATTTTTACATTCAACTAATCATGAAAGCCACAAATAATTTTCACCAAGGATTATCTATCACACCTCATTAATGTGGCCTTCTTTATGCATGAAATGTAATTATTGATTAGTATATAGATATATGTTTCAATCCCAGAACCTCCCCTGCTGCTGTAAACCTCTTTGACTCCCACTATAACATGTTTACAGGTGCCATAGATCACGAATCGTACATTATTGTCATATATTTTCCTTAGTTTCTTACTTTTCTTTCAGATTGCTGCTGTAAAAGAAGTGCTTTATAATGGTGTTAGTAAAATATGGTGATGTTTACAGCTACCGACTCCAGCAGGCTGTGAGATAATGTTACTAACAATAAGCTCAGGATGTTTGTCACATACAACCACCAGCTGATACTTTCAAAACAAAGCAGGCATGGAGAGGGTGGGAGGAGAAGAAATAAAGCATTGTTTGATAAAAGACGCCACACATAATCAATTATTAACACTTAATGACCCGTTTCCCTGTAAAAAAAGAAAACAAACTCACACAATTATGTAAAAACAAAAAATCACTTAAATGGAGTGTTTTCACTTTTGGACAGCAGGTCCTCGTGGCTCCCACATGTGCTACTTCTTTGCTGCTCTATTTTAAAAACACAAAGATTTCTCTCACTGTTTTGGGTGTTTTTGGACTGATTTCTATTTCTATTTTCCAAACTTCATATGCCTTTTGAGTGAGATTCGCCCTATTTTAATCTCTCAATTTTCCATCACAATGTCAGTATCTTCATCATCTACTAACTGAGGCCTAATGAGTTTGAAGAACTCTTGATAAAGCGCAGTAAATGAAGGACAAACATTAAAGGATCATGTTTACCCAAAACTCAGACTGAGAAAATTCACTAACAACAAACAACAAAAACTTGGAGTAAAGGAATTCAGGGTGTAATATCGTCTCTGCGTCTGATGCATCATCTGCTTCTGAGATGCCAAAAAGTTATTTTGATCAGACTCCTGGAATCTGCTGAACAGCTCTGATGTGGCAAAGCTCCGTCTCAGATCATAATGTGTCTCCTTTGTGCTTCACAATACTCATTGATTTTTTTTTAATAGAAAAGAATATTGGCTTCAAATCAGCTCAAAGCCTGAAAACAGAAAGACTTGTAAAACAGAGTAGCTTCGCCTTTCAAAAAGCAATCAGATTTACAGGAACTTTTTACACGCCTGTAAGTCTTGTAAAGCCTCAAAGCCGACCCAGAATCCCTGATTCACATCTCTTGCTCCCATGTCTGATGCCCAAAATGATTTCACAACATTTTTAAAAGGAAAATCAAAGTTTCCACCTCTCAATCACCTTATTGGTCCAGATTACGAGGAAAATGTCATCAGCATAAGGATGAGGCTTGTGCTCTTAATACTGAAAGCTTTTAGGACTCATCTTAGGGCATAAAGAGCACAGCAAATGATAGATCTCATAAAGGTTCAGAAATACATCTCTAAAATAAGATTTTAGCTTCCCCACTTGCTCCTAGCTATGCCAACCTTTGTTTTACCTGCAGAGAGCTAAACCTGCTCTCCTGCTCTTTATCTTTAGCCTGCAGCACAACTCTGTGCCTGGCTGCCTTTGTAGCATGTATGATGTTAATTAACTCGCACCACATGGAGCGTGCTGCTTTAATTGGACAAGGTTTTGGCATGCTGCTCTATGGACAGGCAGGCCAGGAATAATTTTTTTTTTCAAATGTATAACTCTATTATTACCACAGAAAGGCAAGCCGTGAGTTCAAAGATGGATGTGAATATGCAGGAGACAGACGGGGGGCTTTGATCACACTCTGACAGGAGGGAAAAAATAGGGCAAAAGAGTTGTGAAATGCAGTTTCAGCTTCACGAGTGTCAGTTCAGGTGTCGGCGCTGGTGTTAGGGAGCCAAAACAACGTTACAAGCAGACTGGGCGTGTGTGACGGTAAATTAGTTAATCAAACGAGGTGATAATGCTGAGTCACGGAGGTCTGACTGTAAGAGTGTTACGACGGCGAGTGAGTCAGGTAGACAGATGCCACCGCACATGGACAGCTCTATCCACGGTTCAGCTCAGCAGATAAAATAAGCCGCTGACCTTGAGTGAGTGGGCGATTACTGGCATGGGATATCTCTGTAACTGGATACCAAATGATTCATAAATCATCAAGGGGCTCTTTGACATGTTTGTGTTGATAAGTTGTGGCACTATTTTGATGTAACCTTACATTCCTCCCACTTTTATCTACGGCACTTGGAGCTGATGCTCAGCACACATTATACCAGAGATGAGTCATCCATCCATTCATCCATTAAATATACTCACTTATCCTTGAGGATCACGAGAGGGGGCTCTGGCCCATCCCAGCCAACAACTGGCAGGTTGTATTTTTAATTTTACCACCAGCCATGAGCAAAGCAGCAGCTTATGTTTTATCTTGATTGCACAGCTGTTTTTGCACTGTAAGTCTTCATCGGCCCTGACTAATGACAATTTTATTTAAACTATGCAGAGAAGCGAGACCGATGACGGCGACAGATCTGATATATCTTGCGGTTTTATGAGTAGAAAGTATTAAGAGTCACATTTCAAAAAAGGAAGTCACAATGCTACTGCTTTCCAGTAACAGACACTGCTGGTGAAGGACTTAAAGGAAATTTAGACGGGCAAAAACTGGGAATGTGTCCAAATTTTTAGTGTTAGTCCTAAAATTCCTGAGAGGACTACCAATCAGAGCGTTAATGCTTTCTGGGAACAAAGCAGGAGCTTCCAAGAAGAATATACAACCATTTACGAGTTGCATGAGGACTCCTCTTAAAGAAGTATCATCAATGTTTATTTCTTTCTTTAAGGGCTTTTATTAGCTTTAAGACTGGAAATGGGTAATGGGCCTGGAGATGGACCTTGGTCTGTCTGAAGTTAACAGATTATGTACCTCAGAGCTCAACAATAACAACACTGATTGTTGTAAAGTGGATTTTTGAACCATTTCTCCATTTTTTTTCTGCCATAAATGTGACTTATTCACTGTCTTTCAAGCGTTTGAATGTTCCCTCAGTCTGAACTTGGATTTTCAGGTTTATTTTAGCAAAAATAAAGTGAAGGTCCCACTGAGCAATTGACGGCTTTTAGACATCTAGTTTTTTTTAGACCTAATTTCAACCGTATAAATTCTGTATATTTTTAGACGTAATTTAGACGTTGCACTGTAACCCATTATTGGATAAATATTTCTATAAAAAGCATCTGTAAGTTGCATAAGTGATCTGCAAATACTTAACCAAAATAATAAAATAAACAGTGTAGTATAGATAAAGCCCAGCATTAGATTTAGTCTAAACTTGGTCTAAATGTAGACGTCTAAAAAAACCTTCATTTTTAGACCTGTGGTAGCCTGATTTTAGACCAGTTGTCTAGGCTACATTTAGACGTCAATGCTCAGTGGGGTAGCTGAACTCTAAAATGAACAAATTGGGAACCAATCTTTTCAAGATTTAAGGTCATTGCTTTCGGATGCCCTTTTCTTTACACAAAAGAAACTTTATTCTTCTATTTGACAAATCCATCTGACTTCACCTCTTCCTCATGCATTTCCTGCCCTTCTTTTTCTCTACAGCGTTAGCCCCTTAAGGTCATAATAAAACTCTGTATCAGGTGAAATAACAACCCAAATCACCCTGTATGAACAGCCGCCTGACCTTACTCTGTCAGTGAACTTATATCCTATGAATCAACAAACACTGTTATATCTGACTGACATTTTCTTTCACCCACACCACGACCACATGCAAGTGGGTAAAAAGTGACACCAGTTGCATTTCTTTTATTGGTTCACACTGGTCTAAATATAAGGATGTGAGAGTTAAATAACGGTAATTTACCGAGAGAAAGTAATAACTGTTTCCCAAGCCGCCCACACTGAACCCCCAGCAGATCTGCAGCAGAATATACAGCCCGCTCACACTGCGATATGATAAACAGAATTCCCACACATTGAACGCCGAGCTGCACTTTCTCTGAAGAAGAAAATAATTCGATGCATGCAGAGGAATGATTTGTAAAGTCGACTGAATGTCAGGATTGCTCTGCTGCATCGGTAATCGTTTGTGCTGGATTCCTGAGTTGCTGTGCGACCGAGTTGTTTTTAGATACTGCTTTGCAAGTTGTGGGACTTGACCCCGTCTTTGTTTGTTTACATTTGGGCAACAGATGTTCGACTAAATGGATCCAGTTTTCTGAGCCATTTACCCTGCATCCTCTCTCGGGACTATGATCTGTACCCCTGCAAATAAATCCTGGGCCATCTAATGACGCACTGTGTGGGCAGCATCATCTGTGCTATATGCATTGTTTCCTCCGAGGAAGTTAATTCACACATTAAACAAAAAGTGTGAGTGTTATCTGTGCTGTGAGAACTGCTTCAGCGCACGGAGCAGCTATTCCAAACTTACCCCAGAAACTAAATTTAGCTCCCAGCATCCCTCGCTTTTTCTTTTAAAGTGACTGATCACCTCAGACTATTCTTAGCCTTATGTTAATTTCGTCCTGTTTGCTAAAAACAGGTTACACTTTTATAGCAAAAAGGTGTTGCACAAGATAATCCTTCACCAACATCCATCCTGAGGCAGTTCCAATCATTAGCATGAATAACTACGAACTTAGCTCAATTTTTCAATGAGCGTTTACAGCAGCTCCAAACGCCTTTTCATACGTATTTTCACTCTCTGAAGCTGCTCTCACAGGTTAGCCGCGCAAGTCCAGGATTGATGAGTCCTATCATTCTAAACTGACTCCATGTCTAATGAGCAGGCTCCATGGATATGTCCGGTGTTAGTTAACCTTGTTTCCACCAGCAGAGCAGCCTCAGGATCCCTCTGCAGCATCTCCTCTTCTCGCATCCGCGGCTCTCAGAGTCCACGCAGCTTCTGAAAGCCATTTGTCAAACCTCTGCCTGCATTAAATTATCATGACCCAAGAGAGATATCTTCCTCGAGGAAGAGACTCTGAGCTGCAGGCAGACAGATAGGTCGTTCAATGTCTGAGATGGAGAGCTGAATGAAAAATTGACCGTGCCGAATCTCGGTTTGTTCACACTCTGCTCTGTGGTTGTGTAGCTGTTCTTTCAAAGTATGAACAATCTCTACCAAAAGAAAAAAAGTTCCCTGCGGCTGCTCGGTGTTAAAGTTCACCTCTGGTATCATAAATCATCCTGTATGTTTTAACAACAGTCGCACGCAGCCATGTACACGCCGCGACTCCTGGGACTGCTCTCAAAAGTCGTAAAAAGATAAACAGAGAAGACAGCCGTTGGTGTTTTGCCGCAGAACCTCTATGAGAGGTTTCTTTTGTGACTCAGAGTCCACCTTTAGGTTAAATATGAGTTAGAGACCCCTGGTGGGCATTGAAGCTTTCACATTATTTTATTCTTTTCTATCCATTAATAATGACAACCCCCTAATGAGCTCTTCAGACTCGAAATCAAGAAAAATTCTCTTTAAAAGGACTCTGAGACAGAATGCTGCTATTTTAAGATGAAAGACCAATACAGATCAGATACTTCTCAGAAATCCATTAGAGAGCAGGAGGGCAGGATTTTTCAAACGATCCGGTCTGTACTCCTAAGTCAAAGAGATACCGTATCATGAAATGAATGAGATCTGGATTTAGCATCGTCTTTGGTACGCTTTGCTCCTTCAGTAGATGTGTTGTAGAAAACACTGTACTCACTAAAAGGAATCAAAGTTGACAAGAAGCCTTATTTTTGAGCTTTCTCTGAGAATATTTTGCTAGAAATGCTCCAATTCCTGTCCTGTTAGTCACACTATATCCCTGAAACGTTGCTCCCCACATGACAAAACACGGTACAGAGAAAAACAGACTCAAAGAGAAACTGTCAGGGGAAAGAAGAAAAAGTAAAAGCACATCTCTGTGAAAGGTATCCTTGAATTTCTTTAAGCATCTGTTACATTTTTCTGTGTTCCCAAATAACAAACACAATAACAAGAGACTCTCCTGTGTTGTTCTCTTTATCAGAGTGGAATAAATCATATCTCGGAGTTATACAACACATCCTACAGCATGGCTGTCAGTTTAAGAGCTGCTGCGATTAGTCACTTTCACAGAGTGGTTCGAAACATATTTCCATCATCCTATGAGTCATTTCTCAATCTCTTATGTCAACAGATTTGAAACACTATCAGGTTTCAGTTTCATACATATAAGAGTCCTCTGCTTTCCTTTCTTTTCCATGATCGTTATTGAGGTCACAAAATAAGTACTTTCACTGTCACTCTGGGATTTTGGGAAACTGATGAAGAATTTCCAATTAAAAAAAACAAAACAAATGGACATGAACATAACAGTTACACCAAAGCTGACCCAAGCCTCAATGGGGGCCCTAAGCAAAATGTGATTTTTGGGGGTCCTCTATTTCTGCCATAATATTGATTGTTGACCATTCACACACCTACTACAGTATAAACTTAATGCACCTGACATGTCTTTACACATGTAAGGGGGTGGCCTAGGTAATAACATAAATAATACCAATGCAACCATACGAATAATACCAATGAATGACTGATGAATGATGATCAGGGTGCCACATATGGATTTTAATCTCAAAATGTAACACATTCAGCTACAAGAGCGGCTTGGGTTGATTTTCACTACATTCCAAGTGATGAAGCTTTGTGTTTACTGTAAAAATGTCATTGGCAGTAAGAATCATAGGCCTACATCTGCAGCAGCACTAAAACGTTTTTACTTTATTTTATTTTTACAATAATATATATTTGATCATACAGAAAGCATCACTCATACATGCAAAAATATATACAGTATATATTTATTTATTTATTTTGATTGCTCTTGGGGGTCCCCTACTGGCCCCGGGGGGCCCTAAGCAGTCGCTTAGTTCGCCTATGTCTCTGGGTAACACTTTATTTGATGCCTATCTCTACATCGCATTGTAAATATATGTATAATGCGTTACAATCACATTATGACACTGTATAACTATAGTTATAAACACTCATGAATGATCATAATGCTTTATAGCAATAATAATAACACATTATCAAGCATTTTATCACGACTAACAAGACCAGGTATAATCATGTGTTATAACTGTTAACAACTCACTGACAATGCCCACATAGATAATGCATTATACATATATTTATGATGAGTTATAATTTGCTTATAAACTATCATTATAAACACTCATTAATTATCATAAGGCTTTATAGTAATAAGCATAATACATTATAATACCTGACTTTGTAAGTCATGATAAAATGCTTGATAATGTGTTATTATTATTGCTATAAGGCATTATGATCATTTATGAGTGTTTATAACTACAGTTATATAGTGCTATAACGTGATTATAATGCGTTATATATATTTATAATGCGTTATAGAGATAGACATCAAGTGAAGTGTTTCCAAAATAACTTTTAAAATATATGAGGTCTCTTATTTTCAGATTCCTCTTGGTGGACACAGGATGACAAACTTGGGCTATAGAGGCTGGACAGCATCTTTAATGTAAACATTGGCTTTTTAGCCGAATGTAAACCTGTCAAATAGTATTTATGTGTCATAAAGCTCACATTAAACTGAACCTTCTTGAGCATCTGGTTAAAGAATCTGCACATAAGATCCTTTTTCGTTATTTTATGATTATTCCCAATGCTGTGCTGTGTTGGTGTTACACTGAGGTTTTCTAAATGACAGCAGCCTGTCTCCTCCAGCTACCTGTCTGTCTCCTATAAATTATTTCCACATTGTCAGTCTCCCATAGAGACACCAGCTGTGGTACCCTGGGACATACGTGACTCAAAATCTTTATCCCCTGTTTGCTGACTCTGGCAGCTTTACAGCAGACAGGTGCCACACTGTAGGCTGACAGTCATCATGTTTCTGTCAGTGACTCACCATGCTGTGGATGTGTCGTAGGGCAGAAGTGCGGGGCTGTGGCTCTCCCCTCTCAGACTGTGTCTAGGCTGGTAGTGGCTGGAGACCATGGGCTGAGCTTGAGCCTGGTTCTCGTTCTCCTCCGGCATGGATCTTTGCCACTGACTCCGAGCCTTCTTCAGCCAGCGTCCCCCTAGGCCCCATTTTTCCAGGTAGACCCGACACAGCTCGTAGTTTATGGCTGAGTAGTAGAGGAAGTCTAGTGCCAGCAGCACCATGACGAAGAAGCCGTAGATCCACACGCCGACCAGAGCCGTATAGTTACTGTGAGAGAGAGAGAGAGAGAGAGAGAGAGAGAGAGAGAGAGAGAAAGAGAGACTCAGTTTAAGCACAGGGTTTTCTCCATGGCTGACATCCAGATACCCTTAGGCTGAGTCTTTAAATCCCAGTGGCTACAATAACGCTGCCAAGTGTGAAAGTTTGCTGCTCATGTGGGAAGACAAAGACATCCCCTCTTGATAGGCTAGTTTAAGAGATAGCTAAATAAAGAAATAAAAATAAGCTTTTCATCTTTCTCTCATTTATTTCTTTAAAAAAATCTCTTCCTACTTTTAAGCTCTCATTCTCTTGTACTTGTTACATGCTGCAGCTGGGGGAACATTTGAACCTTCTTTCAGTTCACCCGCATCCGTAAAAGCACAACAAAGAAACTGATGCTTAATATTTTGTGACTTTACTTCACTGAGGAGTTGAGGGCTTGGATTTAGGTAGCTTTAACCAAACTGAATGTGGTTCTGTCTAATCATTGTGCCTATTTAAAAAAAAAGTTTTTTCTTCTTCGACACTGAGAATCTTCAGTTTTAACTTGGAATTTTTAAGCGATCCATCTTTAAATGGCAACTCAGCAGAGTTTGCAGTTCATTTGACTGCACTGATTGAAGCCTTTAACAAAGTGTGCCCAAGTGCTTCTAGTTCAGTCAGTCAAATAGAATCCACTTCAGTCTGAAATAATGTGACCTTGGGGATATTCATCGGACTAAATGACTTTGAAATGAACATGTGAGCTGCTCAGATGAGCACTTAGGCAGGTAAAAGTCACTCCTGCACTCACATCTAAATGTATCCTTAACTGCATTTACACTCACCTCTACATTTGAGACGTCCTCCTATAATTTAGTTAAATGTCATCTAAGGTAATCTGTGAAAGTATTAGGCTTTAAATAAAGGATTATAAGCCAAAGCACAATGTGTTCTCAGAGCCAGGAGAGATTGATCATGACCGCCCAGTTAAAACAAATGAAATCCAATAATTAACACGGCTTTCTTAGAGAAAAGACCAGCAGATGGGATTGAATTTCTGTCAAAGGTTGTTTTTTTTTCTTGTTGCTTTTTAAACATCATCTTTTTTTTTTTTTTTGCTGGTGGCTATTCTACTAAGGATCTATTCTGGTTCTGAGTTCTGTGTGGAACTCTATGGTCAAGTCTCCTGAGGACTAAGCCCTCTATTTTACCTTGAGTTGCAGTAAATCTCAAGCTATAACACGATATCCATCCTGTAACGTGAGTAGAGTGCAGAATTATGGTCAGTTTAACTTGCTTGTGGTGGTAAATATCAATCCCACAGTCCTGACGCCCAGTGAGCCAGGATGAAAGAGTGTCCCGACAGGCCATCTGACACTAAAATGAAATATCACGACCTGCTGCAGGGCAGTGTGGACTGCCTGAGACGGAGGCATGCTGGGAGGGCATTAGTACAGAGAGCTGCGGTTTGGACACCTAAATCTCCCACTGAGAGCTCACACAGGAAAAGAGGCTCATTTTCTGTGTCCATCACTCAGCTTAAATCTGCTTTTACAGCAATGAGTTAGTGTGTCTTCTGGGGTGTGAGTGGGTCCTCTGTGAATGGATACTGTCATATCATGAGGGCTTTGCTATAATCTTTATGTATTAAGAAGCACGCTGTTTCAGTTTGATTGCATTTTTTATAAAGTTTATGTTAAGATTTCTAATACTGCTGCAGAAAACTCTGCCCTTGCACTTAGCGAGTGTTGAAGACATTCAGAGTCGTTCAAATTAAGCTGTGCAAAGTGGAAGTGGATGACCCTTGTTAAACAGTAACCACTAGGGATGCAACGATTCATCTACAACATCGATGTATTGATTAATATTGTTATAATCCAACTCCATCGATCTGTGCTTGGCAAGTTGGCCTTCTGGATGAAACATATCGATCCAACATCGTTTTAAAATGTAATAAATCGATTGTATCGTGACTAGGAAATAACCCACTAGATTTAAGCACGGCAGACTGTACATGTTTGTGTTATCTATTTTATTTTAAATTTAATAATTAAGACGTTAAGCATTACTCGATTCAGTCTACCTGTCTGTGACGTCACCATCACGCGCCAGCGGACAACAAAACATAGCATGGCGGATGGTGGAGGAGAAGTCAACCAGTGAGAAATGTTTAAGTGACCATTGCGGTCCAGTGTATGTTGTATTTGTATTATTTCTACAACAGTAGAAGTTGCAGGAAAACCTGCTGTTAATTCAACCTGAAGGGATGTTGGTCACACTTTCTGTACTTTTATTCAAAATTTATTGAATATTCAAATTGAGAACAGAAAAGGTTAATCTGCTATTAATTCAACCTGGAATGGAGGTGGTTGCATTTTATTTAAATAAAATGTGATTGTTGTTTACTTCTTTGTTTATAACCATAATTAATTTATACCTGATTCCCCCACAAGAAACAACAGGAATCTAGGAAATTTCCCCTACACTGTCCAGTATCTTTATTTATTTGACAGTCATACTGGTTGAATTTTTGGCCAAAAACTTACTGAATAAATTTTAAGTTACTTAGTTGTTTTGGATCATATTGTTCAAAATGAATCAAATATTGTCCTTAAATGGACTCAGCAACCACGAATCATGATACTAGGGATGGAAGATATGGGCTAAAAAACATATCACAGTAAGATATTCTGGCGATAACGATAAAAGTCCTGATCAAAAAAATATCATGATTCCAACCCATGATTTTGACTCATTTTGTCCTGAGAACACCAGTTGGAGTTGTTAAATAAGATACTTATCCACAAGTTTGATTGGTAGGTTATGGAGAAAACTAATGAAATGTGAAAACATTTTCAACATTTGTTAAAAACTCTTACTGCTCAGAGTGAACAGCAGTAGATCCACTGTCTGACACCAATCTTGAAGCAAACGAGCTGCTCAGAAACGTCTTCTTCAGTACCTTCAGCCATGTTTGTTTGTTATTCTGCTCTATGTGGGCTACGACTGTGAGTCTGTCACTGTCGCTTACGTCATCAACTTGCATTTATCGCATTTATCATGAGATGGCAAATATTTTTTCTGACGATATATCGAGAACGATAATTTATCGCACATCCCTACATGATACAAACCGAATCATTGTTAAAATGAATCACCCCTAGTAACCACCCTAGTCTCAATAAGTGGAATCAGCACACCCAGGTCTCATTTTATAAACCAGTTTGACTGTGTCAGAGCAGATGTTCAACAAGCACGCTCAAGCTGCTGAAGTCCAAAAGGGCGGGGACACTAAATAAGTCATGCTTTAGAGCGGAAAACCATTTCTCTTTCTTCAGAGAGAAATGGGGCCAAAAATATCGTAGTATTTGTAGATTTGTGGAGCAGTTGACTGTGAATAGTACTAAAAGTACTTCAGTCTTTTCATGGAGAACTGTACTATGATAGCACACTATAGTGGTGCTTAATATAACAGCGAGCACTTAACACCCGCAGAGGCTCCCCTCTCTCTAAAACAACAACTGCTTTCAGCTTCCACTCCTCTCTGTGCTGCTTTTGAACGCCTCTGTAGGTGTAGATCAATGTCAACAAACCCTCGGAGCAAATGGTGTCAATGAGAGCGAAGCCGTCAAGGGTACAAAACGTTTGTGAGCAGGAGGACTTAAATCGACTCTTTTCATCTCATCTGAGGGGAACGTCATGAACCTTCAAGTGTTTGTTCCCCTGTGACTCCACACATAAAACTCTACAAAAGATTTATTCTGTTTGTATAATTACCTTCACACAGACCAAGGAGCTTTTGTGGTGGTCTCTCTCTGTCTCTGCGTATTGTGGGACATCTCAGAAACTAGAAAACAGAATTGGAAGTGATTTGGTTGAAAGTTTCCTTCTGGCCAAATAAGTGATTAGCTGCTGATTGTGTTGATGAAGCGCTTGAGTTTAATACCAAGGCTCATTTGCACTGACTCGAATTCTTATTATGTCTGACAGAAGTGTTTACTGGCTCAACTTAGTATGGATCTTCAGTCTTATTGGTTGCAGTGTGTGGGGGTGGGGGATTTGATGTTCCTTGACCAATCCCAAGAGTACATCCAAACAGAAGAGAATTAGAAAATTAGTCATCTCAAGTTGAGGAGTCTTTTCAATCTAAGATTAAGCCGCTATTTTATTTACATGCATGATTAGAAGCTACAGAGCAGGAACAACTGTTGTAAAGTGGCGCTTCTAAACACGTCCCTCTCATAGTGAGCCCACCATGATTTATCAGCAAAGTTGACATTTGCTTATTGGTTAAATAAAATCTTTTAAAAATAATAATAATAACTTTATTTATGTAGCACTTGTCAAAAAAGTTACAAAGTGCTTTACAACATAAAAACAGAATAGAAATACCAGAAGACAATATAAAACCTCTCTCAGCATTTCTTCCTGGTTGACATCTCTCGTGTGGCCCCCTCGATTGGTTGTATGTTTTGTCATATTTTGATCACAAACTGAGTATTTTATGTTTTAATACTTGCTGTTCATGTAGTACATATACTGTATAAGTATACCAGAGTGTTGTAGCACTTTAAAAACACAATTTATGGATGACTTCTTTTTTGTCTGGTTGGATCTAAGCAGAGTTGATTTATTGGTTGGTATTTCTGACGTTGTCATTTTGGTCACAATTGTGGTCACACATCACGGCTGGTGCTGTCAGTCTGCCAGTGTCGCGCACATGAGGGCAGTGGTTTTTTGACAGTTTTTGACCACACATGTACTGTATATTTTTCTTGTTTCTTAGTAAAAGCAGAACTTTTGTTATCTTTGGATTTAATATTAATTTTCAAGAAGCTTTTGTAGACATTTTAACCATTTAATGCCTGAAACCACTAATTATGGCCAGAAAATTCTAATATTTTTGGAGCTGAAATGTTTATTTCACTTACTACTGAAAACAAAAAAAAAATCAAAATGTCCTTAAAACTTCACAAACATATTTATTTTGTTTGATACATTAGATGTTTTTGGAAACTGGCAAACTACAAGAGGTCATTTTTATTATTTATAGGACTGTATTCAGGTGTTTTCTTTTAATTTGTTGATCATATTGATTTGATAGAGGTACATAAAAGTATGTATCAAATATGATACAAATGGCATTAAAGGGTTAATTATTTTGGAAAAAGACCCGTCAAACTTTACATGGCTGTTTTTTGGAGCACATCCTAACGCCACAGGCTGTTCATCGCTGTGAGATGATGTTTTAATACTCGCTGGTACTGCAACACATATACTGTATAAGGATGTCACAATTTCACAATGTGATAAGCATTTCTTACAACCATTTTTGACTTTTTATCTCTAGCACCAGACTCTAGGGCTTAAAAAAAAACTCCAATGTTTTGTCTTTTCCAGCAAAAATGTGAAGACCCTGTTGACTCCAAAGGCTCTGACCCGTTTGATAACCATTCCATGGATTTCGTTATCCTCCAAAATCAACACACTGTAGCTGACTGCCCGTCATCTTAAGTATCTGGATACAGATCCAGATGTAAATATTTGAAATACCTTCTTTTATAATGGGATAAATTCAGTGTGGCAGCCTTACTGGGTTTTGCACTTACTGAGCACTTTCTAGGTCAGGATGAAATGACAGTACTCCATTAAATATGTGCTAAATGCAGTGCGATCACAATTTTTTTGTACTCACTTGTGTGCATAACCATCTGAGGTGGTGGTGAGGTTGATCTGCATGACCATCTGAAACTCGGTCTCGTTGCAGCAGTACTTGAAGGCTGTGTTATTGTGGTAGCAGCAGAACATGTAGGTCTTGTTGTCTGAGAGGCGCGGGCAGTGAAAGCCGAAGTGAGGACGCCCCTTTAGGTCGTCGTAGGGTTCACACACTCGGTAATGAGCTGAGAGGGCTGCAGTTTGGAGAGAGACAAAGATTTCAGGTGTAAAAATGTGTGAATTATTAATGCTAAACTACTCTCAGGGAGACAGTCTTCAAACTGCGGCAGCCCACAGAGTTCTGAATACACTTTGTTTTCTTTAGAAGCCTCTGAAAAGAAATGATAAGAGACAGCCTGTGCAATTATAACCACGCAGGAACAGAAAACAGTGCATTTACAAAATAACAAGACAGGAAGAATCACATTTAGACTACAGCCCTGATGGCAAAATCTTGTTCACCTTTTGTTCTTTGAGGAAGACAATAGCCGAAAAAAACATTAAGTGCATCCAGCTTTGTGAGCCATTATGCAAACATGAGTGTCAGGGCTTCTGCATGGATGCGCCCAGTGTGCCCCTGTGACTGGCTGGAGAATTTGTTGTGTCAAAATTATATTAACCATTCCTGTTTAACATGCTGTTTTTGGTCTATGCCATAATACAGAGTCACAGAGCCGCAGCAGTCGCCTCACCTGTTCTTCAAAGATTTAGTGACCCCTAAAATAATAATCCCGTCGGACCGAAAAGAAGTCTGACTGAGCCTGAAGTTTAGTGTGAGGTTGAGCAAAAAGGATTTATTCTTATTTGCATTCAAGTCCCAGCAGCTTTAGGAGATAAACCAGTGTATTGTTGCTGTAACAAAAGAAGGATCTGTGCTCTTATAATAGAATCTGAAAACCAATAAATTTGACTCACAGGAATGTCCTGCAGCAGTACTGGAGACTTTACAGATAGAAATGAACCAGATGTAATAAGAGTCAATTTACCAGGCTGATGGTTTTTACACTCACTTATTTAGCACTTTCTTAAATAATGAGTCTGACATTTCAAACGCCTTTTCACTTTCTGCTACCTGTGAAAGAAACCAAAAACTGACTGTCAGTAGCTGCGTTTACATGGGCACAAATAATCGGAATAAAAGCCCGATCAGAATAAAAATGCGTCATGTAAACATGCTGATTGGAAGATTCTGTTCCAATTCGGCTCAATCAGAAAGAAATTGTTGTCCAATTGAGAGAGGTGATTTATGCTGATGGTTATTCCGAAATGCATCCATGAAACACTTATTCCGATCATGACTTTCTTACCTGACTCGATCTTCACTCTTTAGCCTTTGGCTTATTTATTGAGGCCAGTACAGGAGGTTTCATTATTATTATTATTATTGTTATTATTACTAACACTGTGCCATAAAACACAACCGCAGGTGAATTATTGCCAACTGCAGGTACCGTGCCTGCTCTTCCAGTAACATAACGAGGCGTACATACAGCGTAATGATGTCACATCTGCACGCACAGTGCAACCTTTGACAGAACAGTACAATAAGTACGCAAGGGCGCCATCTACTTATAACATTTGACAGCAGGAAAACTCCTGAATTAGATGGAGAGAGCCACTACCACCTTTGTTGGTTGTACACGCACATCATGATTGGATTATTTGAATTTGCGCCATATAAACAGGGGATTCAGATTATCTGATCCCTCAAATTTTTAATCCGATCAAGAAATTTTGCCCATGTAAACGTGACTAAATATAACTTGTTCACACTCATAAGACACAGGCAGGCAGGGAAACACACACTGACAAATGTGGAGGAAGTTTGCTTCCGCCTGTAAATGATGTATCTGAAAAACATTGATTTTTCACATGATGAAATCCGGAAAGCTTTGCTGGCATTATTGATGTCTTTCATGACTGTCTTGGCTATTAAAACTGACATGACTGTCGCGTTACAGAAAACAAATGACAGAAAACATGCCACAACTCAAAAACAGACAGGTATGTGATCAAAAGACACAAATGAACTCTCAAAACAACAAAGTGAAAAGCGCAAGAATACTGGCACATTTGGCACTGTATGTGTACACAAACACAGACATTTACTCCAGTAAACTTTGCTCTCTATGTACAAACATTTAACATGATATATAACACAAATATTGCAAAAAACGACCCAAAATATCAGCGGCCAGAATTATGACCAATATCTGCACCAAAGGATGGTAAAAATAAACTTGCGTGCCCTTCCTGATGGACAGACTGAAATTACGTCACTATTTCTAAATCACTATGATCTCATCTTCGGCATTTCTCCCTGCATTTTCTTTCTACTAAATTGCAGATCCACTGACATCATATTCAGTGCCAGAAAACTAAAATTGGATGATGATATCATCCACACTGATGTCTAAATCAGGCTCTATTTGTGTGTCATTGACTGAATCTTTCATGAAAGGACCTCTTTGATTTTTTCTTTTGCTTGATCGCGCTTCAGCGTAACCAAATGATGCCACTTTATGTGAAGTGTGCGCGGATTGGTTTTTATTTGACTGATTTGTTTTTGTCTTTTGTGTTTCCTTTCATCAGCGAAGCCTACAAATCTGGCAGCATGGTCAGTCAAAGTGTTGTAGCTCTGATTTAAAGGTCCACTTATGCGGCGGTGTGATAGAAGTCCGTCGGTAATCCCAGACGGGAGACAGATCAGCATTTGAAAGGAGAGAGCTCTTTCAGGTTATAATGAGCTCGGTGTGGCCAGCCATCCTCCCTTCGACACCCATAATGTGAGCAGGGGAAGGGCCAAAACGAAGTGATCCTGAAGGACGTAGACGGATTACCAGTCAAGGATGGAAATACAGTGAGAGGAAACTCTTCATTTGACCTTTACCAGGCCTGTAAAAGTTATTTATCTGCTATAAAACCCCGGCACATGAAGCTGGGGTCAGCAGCTGTAGGTGCTTGAACTGGAAATAAGGAAACAGATGGACTCAGAATCGGAGGTGAACCAGAAAGTCCTGTAATGACGCAGGATTTAAGGTTTGGAAAGAGAGAGATTCAGGGGAAATATCTGGCTTCTCAAATGGGCAACAGCTGGTTCTCTAAAGTGGACCGTTGTAAACACACCCACCTGCTTAATTTCATTAACACCTCTTGAAATTTAGGATACAGTTAACAGCTTGGCTCTTGCTCTACAGTATGTTTACAACCTGCAGTCTAAGGACTGCCATGGCTGTCTCCAGCTCCCCCCCTAACAACAGGCAACATCTGAGCGTTAGTCAGTGCTCACACATCATATTTATTTATTCATGGCAACAATCACACGCACAGTTTGTTGTCTTTCTTCTGAGACATCGAGGAAATGTCGGCTGTGCTGTAACTGCTGTGCAGTCGCTGTTAAACCACAAACCAGAGAGATGCTGACTGACTAATAGTTTTGTCATTTAGATTTTACAGTACTGAAGCTGTTAAATAAATTTCTAATCACCTTACCTTCAAACTATTCATGATCTAGCTTCTTGCTATCTATAATACATCAAAAACAGCTGAAGAGGAGATGCATCACAGCAACAAGAATCAAACATTTATCAGGCAACGTTTATCTGGTCTTTGTTATTAAATATGAGCCAACATTTGATATTTTATTTTAGGCATGATGCTTGCCAATGGAAATTATAATGAGCTAAGGATTTGATCAGGTAAATATTAGAGAGAGAGAGAAACTTACTGGGAGAAAACAGGACGTGAGATATAGAAGCGTGTTGCATACACCAAAAAAAAACAACAAAAAAAAAGAGTGTTTTTCAGAGTAAATTTTTTTCAGTTCTGTTCTTCGGACTAATTTTTTTCTGTTTTCTGACTTTTTTTTTTGTATTGTTTTTTCCTATTCTCTGGGATCATAATCATTCAAGAACAGATGCTTTCATCCCCCTCTGCTAGATTTATTGGAAGCAAACATGACCCACTTGTTTAGTTTAATCAAGTTTTACTTTCTTTTGGGTTTGAGTCACTGGGAGATACTCCTCTCTTGAAGTCAGATAGATGGAATCATCATAGGTTTGTCTAATTTGCACAGGCACCTCAGGATTTTTACCTTTGTTTAACTGATAACATGCTTTACTCACATTGACCCCATAGTCAAAGTTACCTAGGAGCTGGAGTATCCACTGATTTGGAGCAGCCACGGTGGTTAACATTATGTGATTGTATGAGATTCTCGCAGGATTTTAAGGTAGGGGGAATAAAAGTAGTTCGAAAAACAGAAAGAGGGGAAAATATATTTGTACAAAAAACAGAAGAAAAAATAGTTTAAAAAACAGAAAGACGAAAAAAAGAATGAAAAACAGAAAGACGGAATAAAGTCTAAAAAAAACAGAAAGACGAAACAAGTCAGAAAACAGAATACAAAATGTTCAAAAAACAGAAAAAAAATCAGAAAAATTAAAAAATGTCCAAAAAACAGAAAGAAGAAAAAAAGTATGAAAAATAAAATAAAAATAGTGCGAAAAACAGAGAGAGGGAAAAAAATATTAGCACAAAAAACAGAGGAAAAAATTGCCAGAAAAATGGCAAAGAAAAAAAATTGCTAAAAAAAAAAAGTTTCCTTTTTTTAAGTGAATGCAATCCCCTTCCCTATTGAGAGGCATTAGCCATGTAAAAGCCCCAAATCAGCCAAGAAGCAAACCCTAAGAATAGAGGTTACGTCACATTAATAAATGTTTTTATTTCATGCAATCAAGCTCAAGTTTCATGACTTATCTCAACCTGTACAAAGACATTTTCTTTAAACTTAGCGAGGAGATTGTGCCTAAAACCAACCAAACTAAACACACTAAAGTAAACTGGAATGGTGTACAAAGTTCAAATTTTTTCCTCCTAACCTGCACAAAAGGCAGAGTCTACTCAGATACTGCACGCTCACTTTGGCAGACAATATTTATTTCTTAACATTGTGTTAAGATTGTTTAATTCCTATTCAATGCAGTGGATTATCCCAACCTACTTTATGCTCCTGCTGTGCTGATTTCCTCCTCCAACACTCCATCCTGCTCTTGCCCTATTTTGTCATTTTTAAGACTTGAGTTGGCATCTTTTCCCTCGTGCATAATGTATACGCAATAGCTCAGAGATATGTGCTGGCTGTTACCTTTAGGGGTTATAAAGTACTCTCTTCACATTTCCATCCTGCATGGCCTCATTTACAGAGAGCACCCTAAGGTTCAGGGCTTCTTCAGCCAAGAGCCCTTTTTTCTTTTTTAGCAATAAATGCTCAGAAGCCCCTTGATGTTGAGGGACTCTGACTGAACTTTTGGCCATCAGATAACAACTTCAATCCTGAAAGTTGTGTCCTCTGAGGTGCTATGCTGCATTTAGTCCCCTGCTCTTGTGGCTAACCCAGAAAAAGACCAAGACCCTGATTTTGAGCACCCAAAAACTGTCAAAACTGCTCTTGGTATTATATTTAAAGAGTGTCTGCAGGTCCCAGTTATCAAATCTATGACCTTTTAAGGGTCACACAAGCTTAATCTCACGATAAACTCTACAGACCTGCAGTGGACAGCAGAAGGAAGATGACCGTCAGGACATTGAAGGACTGCCGGCTGGTGATAGTCATCTTCTCCTCCTCATGTGGGAAGAAGGGAGGGAGCTCGAGGGAGGGAGAAAAGTGGGAGGGGAGAGAGGGAGGCCGCTCTTCTCTAGCTGGACGTAGGCATCCTCTGCTGTGAGACGGCTCCACTCACATGGCTGCTGCCCGGAGTCAGGACTCCTGATGGGAACAAGACAAGCAGAGAAAGGAAAGATTAAGCCTTTTGATTAGGATTTCAGGAAGTTCCACCCCACTGTGTGGACAGCTTGTCTGACAGTGAGCACCCACGATGCCTTCTCAAATCTGTCCTAAGGTCTATTTAATAGGAAGGCTTAGACATCAATTTGAATGGAAATTGGCAGGCTGACAACACTGGGGCTCTAAGATGTTCCATTTTTGCATAAATCCCTATTGTGATGACAGTTTTTCTGCTTTATACAGAAGGAACTGTTGCACTTGGATATATTATTTCAGAGACATTTTATCCTTTTAAGTACCAGAATAGCAAAAACAGAGTTATGAGCGGGCAACCCGAAACAGATGGTGGATAATGCAAATAAGAGCGTAGAGCAGATTTTCTTTGTCCGACATGTTATAGAATATATTTGCCTGCTGAATTCAATTAAAGCAACCTGGGACTGTCATCTCAAGCCCCGGGAGACAGCAACATCTTCCTCACATTAAAAGTAACTCACACAACAGAATAAGGAAAAGTAAGAGGTTTAATGGTTAATAAAAAAGTTACAGTTACTCGGGGATCACTTTTAGTTGTTGCTGATGAAACATGAGGATTAAAAAAAAGGAGAAAAAGAAAGAAAAAATCTGTTTATGGATTAGAGCTGTTATCAGTCAGGATCAAATGAAATGTTAATATTTATGTTGTTTACTTGTGGTGTTCCTTTTTTTCAATGGGTGTCCTTTACTTTCTGGATTTGAGGGTATACCAGTACTACAGATGAAAAAGACCTTATAAAGTTTACAGGCCTACAAAATTAATCAAACTTTATGTACCTTGGTTAATATTTTGCATTTCATTTGCAGGTATTTTCATTGTCACTACTACAAGGAAATGTTTCAGTCTTTATTTAAGTAGTACTATAAGGTAAAAAAAAAAAAAATCTTGTATCCTTTATGTTTTTATTTTGTTGATTAATTTGTAGTGGCTTAAATTCCCCTACCGAAATTATCCTAGAAGCCACCAAGATGTACGATAGCCAGATTTTATAGTTGACGCATCTTCTTTGCCTACTTGTTTCTCACCGTAAATGAAACAGTTCCTCCAAGTCACACTTTCTTTGTTTATTCGTCTTCTTTTGTTAAAGAAACCAAATGCAAAAGAAAGACAAATGCGAATTCAAGCCAATGGCGATGACGTTGATGTTAATGGTCAAAAAACGGTGTGCTTCTCCTGCCTCAGACACACCTGCAACTATCCATCCATCCCTTTTCTACCGCTTATTCCCACTAGGGGTTGTGGGGGCGCTGGAGCCTATCCCAGCAACTTCGGGTGAAGTCAGGGGACACCCTGGACAAGTCGCCAGTTCATCGCAGGGTTGACATATAGAGACGAACAACCGTCAACACTCACACCTACGCGCAATTTGAAAGTGGCCAATTAACCTAACCCCACTGCTGCATGTTTTTGGGATGTGGGAGGAAACCGGAGCACCCAGAGTAAACCCACGCAGACACAGGGAGAAGATGCAAACTCCACACAGAAACGCCCTGAGCCGGATTCGAACCCAGGACCTTCTTGCTGTGAGGCGACAGTGCTAACCACTACACCACTGTGATGCCCCTCACTTGCCACTAATTGTGTCTTCTTCTATTTATAGTGAACAAAACAGGACTTCACGCTACCTGGTGTGGCACCAGAACAATTACAAATGAAACAGGTTTCAAACACAAACCCAAAGAAAAGAACAAATGGTGCTAACACCTGCATTTCTTTGAAGTACCACATACTTTTACTCACCGATACCGCCAATTGGAAAACCATCAAAGACAAGGTTAAGATAAATAATAAATGTTTTCATCTCTTCATCCATTCAGAACAACCTGCAAACAGTCTTCACTATTCAATAGTTAAAGGGTACTCTGTGATCCAGAGAAACGCTCAAAGTGCACTAAAAGTCTGATGTTCGTAGACCAAACATTCAATAAGTTAAACAACATGCCCGATCAGCACAGTTCTCCAGAGTTTTGATACTGGAACTGCTGAGGAGCAGTTTGCCTGTAAATGATGCATCATGGGAATTCGCGATCCCGTCTCCTCCCTACTTGGTACTTCTGCACAGTTGCTGTTCGATGCTGTGTCATGGTCATCTGTCCTCTAATTCTAAGTAAGATTAATGGGAACAGCGGTACATTTTGCTTAGCCATGCTCCTTCTGTACTTTCGCAGATTTATTCCTTTAATAGCACCGGAGGGACACACACACACAAAACGGCCCCTGTCCCTGACTCACAGGTAAAAGGTGGAGTTTATGGTAATTTATTACAAGCTCCATCGGTGAACCATTTACATTTGGCAGAGGCTTTACAAAGTTAATTATGTGTATAACACTTTGTAGCTGAATGTGACTTTGAGGCAGTTCAATGTCAGCCACATGTGTTAGGGGAATGTGGATCATAATTTAAAGGCTGTAATGAAAGACACCAAAGCTGTGGCTGTCTGGATGAGATTTACACGATGTAGGATGTTTAAGCCATTTGGACGATGTATTCGTTCCTCGAAACCGTAAAATCCTCACTCCGATGATTTATGACATAACTTCAATTTCCACTGTAGAACCAGAATCTTCTTTTGAAATGACCCCAACACTACTGAGAGCTTTCACTGCAAGTTTTCACAGAGAAAGTCAAAAACATCCTGTCTGTGGAAAGTATTACAGATCCAAAGACCTAAATTATTGAGCAGCCGACAGCAGCTGACAGCTGGATGGAAACCACATATGAGGAGCAACAAGTATAGAAAACTACATCAGCGGGTTTCTTTTATGATGTTGAAAACAATGCAGTAGTGGATTATATCCAGCATTTTATTGCATCATCACTGTTAAATGCATTTCATTGTTTCTCCAACTATTTACAAGCTGTTTGGCGAGCTCATTGCGCCAAGTGCGGTAAAGAGAAATTTCCATTTGGATGAAGATTAAAAACTTTTAGTTAGGCAATATGATTCAAGATGTGATCAGACATTGATGTCAACAGACACACACAACCTGGTGGAAGAATCAACTCACAGGTTGACATGATTCCCACGGAAAGTTACTGCAGAATTTGAGTCAAAACCAGAATTGAAGTAGAGGTTTGACATTATAATGACATACAACGTGATTTTAGTATGTCAGTTTTCAAATCCTCATCCGTGTTGGTATTTGGCACACAAATACCAAGTTACTTTTGGTTTGAAAGTACAAAGAAGGGGTAATGGTGGGTCTCTGTTAAACAAAAGTGTGAAAAGGGTCTAACCCATCAGATTGAGCTACTAAAGCTGCTTTGAGGAACTTTCAGTTGTGTTTGTTCTGGCGCCCCCTCTGGACATACACAGGTAGTGTTTACAGACACAAACCTCGTCCTCTTGGAGGTTTCTATTTCAATTACAGTTTTAGCTCCCTACAACCACATCATGCGAGTGTCTGAAAGCCAAAGTACAGAACATGATGGAAAAAAGGCTGTAGCGATCACAGGCATGAACGAGCATAAATGTGCTCACATTTGTTCAGGCTATACAGTGACATTGGCACATTTCAAAATAAATATAATCTTATTCTTGATGTTATAATGGTGCAGGCTGGAAAAAGCTGACTGGTACATTGGATCTGCTTCAGTATAAGTGGAGGAAGAGCTCAGGTCATTATGATTTAATAGCACAATGTAAAATTCCTACTCTTCTCCAAGTGAAGGTCTGCCCTTCAGCGAAGAGAGTATTATTGTAAGAAGCCAAAGCTCCTGGGGAAATAAAGAATAGAAAGATGGTCTCTATTCTCTCTTTTTTGTAGTCTCTCAGTTTGTAAGAGTTTAAAGTTATGTTATATGTAAGTAATGCAGATGTCAATTCATGAGCTGCTGTGTTTAATATTTGTGATCTTAGTTATTAATAAAACAGTCATGATGGTGAGTTTTGGCATGACCGAGCAGCCCTTTCTTCTTGTCTTTTAACAGTGACGTGTATCTCTCACATTTTTTAGAGGCTGTTTTTTCTGCTTGTCATCAGTCATCTGGTCTGAAACCTACAACCTCATGGTGGTTTAAAATGTTAAAAGCATAACAGAGGGATAATCAGTCCTGTTGCTGGTGGTCTTGTTTGCTTTTGAAGGTCACAAAGAGACTACACTGTCAGATTCAGTCAGTCAACCTGTGTAAACACCTCACAGCGCCTGGAATAATTTGCTTTTAGACGAGCTATGAGAGACGCTCGAAATCTTCTTGAAACTTGTAGAATAAAAAGCGATTTATGACAAATCAAGCATGAAAGCTGGCTGTTGACAAATTGTTTCACACAGACTCACAAAATATGAAAAATGAACATGGGTTCGGAGGTGCGGAGGTGAAAATAAGTCCGGATTTTGAGTTACTGGTTTTGCATTCATGTTTTTAGAGAGAATCTGGTAGACTCTCCTCCACCAGAGCCCCTCACATCACAAGATTATTCGAGCAGAAGATAGATGTTCAGATACGTACCATATTGGAAGTGACTCTGCGATTTTTTTGTAGATTCAGATTGTTACCATAATCTGCCTGAATCCTCCTCAGTAAGGTGGGCAGGCCTCAGGATACACCATAGGTCGACGAGCAGCCGCTGGCATTAGATGTAATTTGTCTGAACAGATGAGGTCACAGTGGACCACCTCATGTCAGGACACATTTTCTCCTGTGATGATTCTGATTGTGTGTCCGCTTGAATACACACGAGTATTAAACATATTGACACACAAAGACCTTCAGCGGTACTACAGGCTTTACCTGACCTGATTAGAGTGAGCTCACTTTTGACCCATGATAACCTCTTCTCTATATTTCTGAATACCTGAACAAGTAGGAGGGAATATATTATAAACAGAGCCCCCCCGGTTGGTTATAAATATGATATTTAACTGCGTGAGTGTGAAGTCAAGCATGGCATTGCATTGTTTAATTGAGCCTTCATGGATAAACAAATGAATGGATAGAAACTAAAGTTGTGTGAGCACCTTGGAGACTCCTTTCCCCCTTTCAATAGCTGCTCCATCTCCTCTTTGTTACTGTGTTTTTCTTTTTTACAGCCCTGGCAGCACTTGGCTAATGGTTGCACACGACCAAACTCATATTTAAAGCTGTTGCTATGGACCGTGTGGACAGAATATGTAGGGAAAAGCACAGCATGCTGTTTCTGTTGGAGTCTTTTTAAAGGGGTTTCAGATCAGGCAAGCTGTTCCCTCTTCAGAAAACCAGGCAGCTGAGGTCCCATGAGGCTTGTTAGAGTGGCATTTTATATGTTTTTTTTTTTCCCCCAGTCTTTTTACTCCTGGTGAGAGCTTCAGTGTGCTGCCAGATGACAACATGTGCAGTATACGATGAGGGATTCCCATCATTGCAAGCTCCTTTTCCTTTCAGCTGCTGTGGTCTCTATCAAAAGGTTTTTATCTCCATGTTTTTTTTTTCCTCCCTTGTTTCCCCCACACAGCACAGAAAAGCCACATCATCATCACACCGCTCCCTGCGCTGTGCTTGCTATAAAAGGGCAAGGTTCACTTCGTCACAGCGCTGGGCTTGTTTGCAAAGACAGAGCAAGTGTGAGAGGTTTGTGTAATGAGCCGGATGGTAGTGAAGCAGAACATATACTGTAAATACACAGACGTGCACGCAGACAGGCACACACGCCATAGTACACAGTGCACAGCTCCAACTGCGACTGAAAATAGAACTCGGCTGAACAGGCATGCAACGCAGATGGAGGGTCTAGCTACTTGCTGCTGATGTCTAAGATCATATTAAAATATACATAGAGATATAACAGCCTTCTTATACTGTACCCACTCTCAGAGTCAATGTTAAGTAATGCTAGGAATATGTAAAAAATTGACAGACTTCTAGGGTGATTGAAAGCTCCCAGAGTCGGTTTATTTGCCTGTATTTTACCCTCTGTTGCCTTAAGAGAAGAAGGAAACATTAAGTGACCAATTACTGCTGCGACCGCTGTGAATGTAGCTGCACACTTTTCAGTACAACGCAGCAGGAGACCCAAATCTGTCAGATATTTTGATGAGAGGGAGTGGGATAGAAGATTTGGGGCTATTTGAAGATTACACACGACTACGCTGCATTCTTCCCTGTGTCTTATTTTAGTTTAGATATTCACTCTAAAGTCTGAAACACATTATCAAGCATCCTGGAGATATTTATTTTATTTTTACTTTGGCCTGCCGAGCCTCGAAAATGAGTGTTTCAAGTTTTTCAGAGCCTGCACTTCACAATATAACCCCCCCTTTCTCTCTACAGTAAAGAGTTATTTTTAGTTGAAATGTTTAAGTCTGTCATTTCGAGCACTCGCATAACCCTTTTTTTTCCTAAATGGGTTATAATACTGTAGGTGGATATTTATTGGATATTTATGCAGCCGCTGTGCCTCATTATTAGGTTTGTGTTTTCCTCAGAGCTCACAAATACACTCTCTGTTGCTACGCCGGCCCCTTAATCCGTGTTAATGTGCATAATCAATCACAGTAAAACACAGCAGTTCATGAGCATCCAGAGTGAAGTACAGTTTAGAGATGAGACTCCCACTTCACACAGTAACTGAGAGCACACTGGCTAAGTGATTGCATTTCATATCTGGGTCTGCTGATGGGCTTGCATCCAAATACTGATCAGTATTCAGCTGCAACAAGCTCTGTGTTAAAGTGATGCTCCCTTTGACTGTCATCTTAATAAAGCTGATTTTATTCACTTTGAATGACATTAAAGCTTCACTCTGAAGCCCTACAGTGCTCCATTATGATTAGAGATAAACTGATCTCATTCTGCCTTTAGATATTGGTCCAAAATTGAGTCAGATAGGAGGGTTGATTATCTGTGACAATCAAACTGATTAATTTATCGTCTAGATACTCAGTCATGTACCAGCAGCATGCCAGGCAACTGTTTTTTACTCATAAGACAAATGGAGATGGCGAGAGTCAGCTGTTTGCAGATGTTATGTGCTTGCAAGAAGCTCAAAGGTTATCTGCAATATCTAAGAGGGGGTTGCACTTGTTGTCAAGAGTAAAAAAAAAAGTAACATGAAAGGAAAGCCTGAAGTTGCCTTACACATCAAAGTATGATCCTGCACACACTGACGCATATAACTCAATTATTTAACACTGGTGTTGGATAGGTGCTCAGTGTTGGGTGGTTCCCAAAGAGCAGGAGTATCAGTAATTATTCATAACTAGGATCTGAGCCCATGAAGGGAGCTTTTGTGGGAAGTTTGGTTGTTGGTAAACCTCAACCAGAGACCGTTAGAGCATGTTTGAGGAGGAGTTTTGGATGTTACAGTCAGGTCCATGACTTTGGCAGCCTCTAACCAGGTCTTTATATTCACATGGTTCATCACTAATGGTTTTCATGATAAGCTTAAAGAAAAAAGAAATTTCAAGAGACAGTTGTTATCGATTTTCTGCTATTCAAACAGCCTTCAAACATGTTCACAATCAGTTTGAGCAGGAAGACATTGAATAATTTGGCTCTGGCTTATTTTGCTGAAACTTGATGAACAATTTACAATCTTCTCTTTCATACAAAAGAGGATTAGGGTCACATGAAGAGAAAAAAAGTAATACTTACAGAAAGGAGTTTGAAGTCGAAATTTCGAGATTACAAAATGTCGAAATGTCGTGAATAATGTTGAATTTTTGTGATTACAGTTGACATGAATAAAGTCGATATTTCAACTTTTTCAAATTTTGGTTTTAATCTCAAAATTCTGACTTTAATCTTGAAATGGAAATTTAAAAAAATGTCCTTCTTGTAATTATTTTTTACTTTCCTTGTGGCCCTTATCCTCCTTCATACTTTCATGATTTGTGACTTTTAGCCTTTTTATTCTAACACAAAACAACTGGTCTCTTAATTTTAGCCTATTTTCATTTTCAGCCTTTTACCAGCAAATCTGGCACTTGGGCTCCCTCACATTCAAAAAGCACTTTTTTCTTCACCAACTGATCTGAGGTTTGCTGACAGCTGGCTAAAGCTTCATCTGGCTGCATCAAAATAGTGCTAAAAACATGGCCACCATACCCAGGCCCCATTCTAACAAGAAAATATACATGCTGACTGAGATAACACTGGTTGTATTATATATTCATAATTTTCTAATCAATTGTAACTAAGATGTTGACATATGCTTCCTGCACATATTCATATTGCTGTATTAATACTTTTGTGATTTATTGAGCTAAAACAGCTCTCTCCTTCTGTTATGTTTACAGATCTTTAACTTAGAGTTTATGTTCATTCTGAGGACAAGTTTAACTCAAAGCACTCAGCGCACAAACTCAGATTATGCTCCTCATCAAGTCGAACTCATTGGGGTCTGGCTAGGACTGGGCGATAAACTGAAAATTTACAGATACTGAAATTTACGTCAATACCCAACGTCATTTTGCACATATCAGTTAAGTGTCAAAACAATAAAATAAGATTTGGTTTTGGATGTGTGTAGGGAGACATGACTCCACCCCATAGAGGGAAAGACAGGGAAACTGCTCAATATATCGTGATATTGATTTGAGGCCATATCGCCCTGCCCTAGGTCTGGCTATATACAGCAACAAGAGAGAAAGGTTCTCATGAGACAAACACCAAACTAAAAAACAGCATTATTAAAAGTGGAGTAGCCTCACTCCCCCATGAGGTAACCTACTCTGCCAAGTGATTTTTTTGGCTATGAGATTGATCCAGAGGACCAGATGAGTGAACTTCAGCCTGTCCCAGTGACAAATGTTCACAATAAAATAACGTTATAATTCAAACTCAAACTGAACTGAGACTTTAAATTAAAAGGGAAGAAATTTCAACTCTGCGAGTGACCCACTCTAACAAAGACCATGTTTTCCACAGCTGGAGTTAATATGAGCTCACAAAACAACTTGACTCAAGGTCAAAAGCAATTCGACAAACTGTAAATATCACTGGAAAATTATTTACTGTTTAAAGTTCCCGTAAGTGTTCTGATTTATTTCTCTTGGTTTTATATCGTTCTTGTAAAAAAAATACATTCTGTGTTGACTGTTATGGGCCTTCAGTGTCAGCTTTAACCTCCAGGCTCCAACCAGATTTAATGCCGGGCTGCATGATGCTGATCCAATTTTGATTTGTTGTATTTAATACAGACAGGCTGTAAGCAGGAAATGCAATCCCATGAACATCAAGTTTAGTTTTATTGCCCTGCAAGCTTTTGCAAAAGCTCCCCGTTGACTCATGATTTTATGATAAAACCTGGTGAGTCAAGAGAGGAAGACAAGATGATTTACGGGTCTTTATTTTCAGGAGATTGTGAGCTATCCAAACACTTAAACATTGCTCCATCAAAGAGCAAACAAAAGAGATATCTGTGACTGACTTTGGAACAAACAAACCGAGAGAAATGTCTCCACTATCTGGATTTTTATGTCTTACTGTGAAACAAAGAGGGTGTCTTTCCATTTCACACTGATGAGGCACTGTCAGGGTAATAAAAACTGAATATCCATTTGAGCCGTATCACCGAGAGCTCAAAGCAGCAGAACTGGGCATAAATTTGAGTGATGGGCGGAGGTTTGTCTGTGGTTTACACGATCAGCCACTGGAATAATCTTCAGGCTCTAATTTTCTAAATAAAGCTCGGAGGCAAGAACGTGTTATGGTCTGGTGGCTTGATGTTGCTACGGAGACGTTAACGTCACTGAAGATACTGGGTAGAACGTAACATGTAGAGCACAGGAAATGAACACTGTTGATCTAAAGGCAGGGTGACACAGCAGGGTTGCCACACAGCCGAAATGGAAGTATAGTGGGGCTCATATTGGGCGGTGTGTGTGTGGATCCACCTAGCTGCTTGGGTGGTCTGTTTGTGCCCCTGACTGGGTAATGGTTTGTTAGCCTGACACAAGCAGAAGATGAGAGGAAGGATGCGATCAATCAAACATCTGCTGCTGGCTTGTTGTATCTCTACCTGCTGAGAGCTGTCGTTCTGACGGATACCTTTCTGCCTCCTTCACCGTCTCACAGCTTTCACTCATCAGCAATTTGTTGCATGAAGGCAGACTGGAGAGTTATGTAAGTATCTGTCTGGAAATCTCTGCAGACTGAAGGAGAGAATAAAAACTCTGATTAACTTTAATCTGTGAATAGAGAGAGCTGTGGTCATGAATTAAATGTCAGTATCACTCCAGTGCAGATTCTGCAGAAGGCAAAATCATCAAAGGAAGGAAACCAGACGAATGTGAAAGTTCAAGTTTAATTTCCCTCTGGCCGATGCGTCTGATCCCAATTAAATTCAGACAGTTTTATACTGATTTGTTGTCTGGTTAGGCCGATAGATCTAAATGATGATCTAAAATGAGGTAGGTTTTTACATCTGTTTTAAAGGTTTTCCACACAATAAAAATGGCCATGGACAAGTGTATTCTGGGTTGTAGGCACAGACGAATTTTGTGGGGGGATTTGGGGGACACTTTTTTAAAAGCCCGTTTTGGTCCCCTGCAGTTTGAACCGTCTGAAAACAATGTTACTTTATGCCAGGCATCTCCAAACTATTCCACAAAAGGCCGGTGTGGCTGCAGGTTTTTCTTCTAACCAATCAAGAGCACACAGTCTGACCAATCAGCTGTCTGAAGACTGAGATCAGCTAATGAATCAAGTCATGGGTGCTGCTGCTTGGTTGGAAGAAAAACCTGCAGCCACACCGGTCCTCTGTGAAAGAGTTTGGAGATGCCTGCTTTACGCTATAACAAACCGCTACATGTCAGGCACTAGGACCAAACGGCTGCTCAAGTCGAAAACTCGTTTCCCTCGGTTTGGACCGCCCATAAAGTCCTTGATTGGTTCTGCTGCAGGGCCGCTTTTTGAGTGTGATTAGCTATGTCTGCTGTCAGTCATTCCATGCCTGCCGAACTCGTGTTTTGCAAGTTGCTCGTAAGAGTGAGTCTGTGAACATCGCAATTTGCCGGTGTAAGTTTACAGTAGGGCAGCATTAATTTTCCCTCCATAACGTCACATTTATAGGAGGTTTCATTTACATCACATGTGTCATCAAAATTTCAGCCATGGTCATAAGAATCGTAGATATGTTCCACACATATAGTAAGCAATGGCTTCCACATCATGAAAAATCAGGCAGTTCTGATGGCAGGTAAAAAAAATAAAACATGGTGCTAATGGAGTGATTTGTGACTATCAACAACTAGACTGCATTCTGGTCAGAGCAGAGCTGCAGACACTCATGAAAGAGCGCCGCTTTCTCCTTGTGTTAGAGTGGGTGTACGATGAAAGTGCAGCAGAGCTCAGCAATCAGGTAAGTTGGTGCTGTCTTCTCTACAAGTTTAATATGAGCAAGAAACAGTTCATCTCTGTTAAAAAAACACTGCCTGCTTGAAAGATTTTTTTACTGATGATTTAGCCTATTGAGCACAAAAAGGATGAACAGAAGCAGGCCGTGGCAGTAACTGGTGGTCAGAGTAGCCGCCATAACTCCTGACAACCACAGCTAAGTCAAATCTCCGTAAGAGCTTGACATCATATTTTGAGGTGGTAAAACAATGTTCTACTACTTTAAAAGCATCAGCCATATATAAAAAGAGTAAAATAGATTATTATTACAAATCAAAACTCCCCACTGAACAGCATGATCCAGTACCTTACAAAGTCTGTTCCTAACCAAATGACTTTTGAAGGGGGAAATGCTTTTCTCAGTCAGTACAAATATGCACGCAGTGAAGGAGAGACGGCTAATGAGACAGCTGCTGGAGCCTAACAAGTTGAATTCATTTCACAATCAAGGCCTCAAAATCAGCTGGGAGATTATAATCTTCCTGTGACTCATCATCTGATATAATGCAGACCAGACAGACTTGTGTCCATGTGATGCAGACTGAATGATAAAATGTGATTTAAAGCTGCGTGTACCTTTCCAGAAAACTTCAGTGTGTAGCTCTGATCTCCCTTGAGGTCAGCACTGAAGTTATTAGTTGTGATCAATTAATTAGTTGACGGAAAACTAAAAACTATTCAAAAAGTTTACTTGTGTGGCTGTTCTGGACCTTTTAAGTTCAGTTTTTTTATTGACACTACATAGTGTGGCTACTCGCCCCTTCTTGGGTCTGAAACAAAACATAAAAACTTGCAGACTTCTTGCCATTTGTCTTGGACATCACTCTCGATTTGTCTCATTTTTTTATGACAAGCTATCGAGCCAACTTAAGACCGGTTCCAAGATGTAATGAATCCCTCCTTGGCCCATGCTACATCTTCTCACCAAGTTTAACAAAAACTTTGAGATTTTCAGCTATCCAGCAAATTGATCAGACAAGTAAACGCTGAGAAAAACAACATTCCTGGCTGAGGTACTACAAGTATGTGCCTGAATCCCTTCATCCATACTCTGGAAATTATTTACTTGAATAAGAAAATAAAATCACAGACTCCTCAAAAGCTAGATAATGAAAGACAATTCTGCTTGATCTGCAACTTTTGATTTGGGCCCGCTGTAACTGAGAAGCATCTCAACTATCCAGAGTTTTGCTTTGATCGAACAACTCAAAGAATTGGGTGTTGTTGGGCCTGAATCCTGGATGTCAGAGGGATACAGAAGCTCAGGCACTGATGTCACTTTCAAAACCACAGGAACCTTCCAGGACTCTTTCCACAGCAGCTCTCAACACTTGCCGATCCAACAAGGTTTTTCTTTTTCCTCCAGGCTACACAGAGGCCTCATCTGTCAGCGCATCAACGCTCCAGCTCTCAGATCCAGTTTCCTTTGGTAGTGGGCCTGTGACTCACACAGAAAAAGCTGGACTTGTTTTGGCTCCAGGGTTTGGGAGACATATCTCGTGGACAGTTCGGTGTCTGTTATGCAGACAGACAAGGCTGTATCTCCCAGACACAAGGCCGCTCTGTTTGTTTGGATTTGCTTTAACACCCCACTCTGGGCTCGGTCGGTTTCTCTTGGAAATGTTTCCCTTCATCATCCGCCTGACCCCTGGGTTTAAAATAGCTCTCCACCAGCAGACAAGTAGCCTGGTGGGAATTTTAAAAATGAAGAAAAAGAATAATATGACATGGGACAGTAATGCATGACAAAACTGCAGCTCAAACAGAGCGGCTTGGTAATCTTTCTTCTTTCCCTCATGGCGTGTTTTTAATAGTTTATGTGGACCACCATGGTTGTACGGATACATAACAACACAACAACAAAAAAAAAGATCTCTCCTTAAAAATCAAACATTATGTCTAATCCTGCTGTTATCTCATGGTACTTAAAACCAGCACACCAAGTAGCAAACTCCAAGGCCTGAATGTGAACCCAAAACTGCTGCAACATGATGCTAGCACCTTAAGAAACGTATTTCTCCCTGTTTTTTAAGTTTAAGTTTTTTAAGCACCTTAAGAAACGTATTTCTCCCTGTTTTTTAAGTTTGAATAAAACAACAGAAATCAACATTTTTAAAGCACTTTAGGTTCTTTAAAGGTTTGGGTCTTATTAGCCTATTTCCCTGTTAATGAAAATAGCAAGGGGGGGTTAACTTTTACATAAGTGACTCTATTAAATAATTGAGGCTTAAAGCTATGAATAATTGAAGGCATCTCCTCCTTGAGTGACAGGTGTGACGCTAGCTGTCTGCTGGCGTTGGCTCGGCTAATTTGAGCCACTGAACTTGATCTTGTGGATATCCGCCCCCTTGACAGAGAACTGCCACTCTGGTGTCCAAGAGATGAGAGCGCAGCGGCTGACATCCAAAACTCGTGGCATCAAAGCATTGACCTGAGTGGCTACATCTACATTATGCACAGTCTGAATAAGAACAATGATTTTATATATATATTTTTAATTATCTATTTCTTTTTTTTATCATTATGAAAAAACTCACTTGGCAATTTAATGAATAAAAATTGGATATTGTTATTTTTATTATTTTGTTTTATTTTTTAGCATTTTGGAAAAAAATCACTTGGCAATTTAATTAATAAAAATTGGATATTTTTTATTTTATTATTATTTTTTAATCATTTTGGAAAAATGTCACTTGGCAATTTTATTGATAAAAATGGATTTTAAAAAAAATTATTATATATTTTTAATCATTTTGGAAAAAATTCACTTGGCAATTTAATTAATAAAATTGGACATTTTTTTCCCCCTTAAATTGGATTTGACCCAGTAAAACCCTGTGATGTAACCTGACAAAAGTTTCGTTTTCTAAAACTCTTGTGAATTACTTCGTCCTGTGAACAGTCATGTGATATATCCTGTAATAAAATCTGTTTTTCCTGTTTGTTTTTATCTTTTCTTTCTTGATCGCTCTTTCGCCTTTTTAAAAGCATAAAACCCTGAGGCTACATATTGATGTTTTAATTGAATGAGATGGCGCTCTGAAGAGATTTCCCTGCCAATTTGACTCACCAGGTCATTGCTTCATGACCCAAAGTGTGGGCGTAAAAAATATGAATGAAAGTAACGTCAGTAGGCAGTTAATTGGCTGAAATGGAAACTGACAGCTTCATATTATCATTAGAAGAAAGACATCACTTTAAAAAACCAAAATCAATGAGGAGAGAAAAAGTGACACCAGTTGAGAGGAAAGATGTAGGATGCTCTCCACTCCAATTACAGTTTCATTCACCTGTAATTGGTGGACTCCATTGGCCCATTAAGTCCTACAGTGTGTTATAATGATTTCCTACTTCATAGAAAAGTAAGAGTATGCCTATCTGCTTCCTTAGAGCGAGACCAGAGTTCATATATGACAGACGATAAACTGAAGAGAAATGGAAGCTAACTGAAAAAGATCAAGTTGTAGTTCCTGAACATAAAAAAGTTCATGTTTTTCAGTTCACACCAAAAATATAAACAGATTTACTTACAAGTTGATTATGTTTATTTGAGCAATAAAATGCGTATTAATATTTAATTGTCTTTTATTAAAAAACAGTTGTTTTGCAGCTGTTCTGTAATTCTATAAGTGCAATTTATCCAGTTTCATCTCCAGGGAAACAAACCAATGTGCAGTGAATAGATATGATGTTATTGTTGTGGGGACTTCTTGTGTGTGGTATCGAACCATACCATGCTAGACCATATAATATCTTATCTACTGTACTTTACTGTATTGTGTGAACTGATTGTTTCAATGTTCAAGCAAATACAGCTCTGATTAGCGAGAGAACCACCAAAAGGATAGCTGGTCAAAGAAAAATCTGAATACTCTTGTACCCAAACGAGTGACTGCAAAGTAAACAGTCCTGCTACTGCCAGTAAAGTTAACCTTGTAGTGTAAAAGAAACATGACCAACCAATTCAACAAACTATCAAAGAATTAGCCTAAAACTGTCGAGGTAAAGCTGAAAAAGAAAGAGAGGTTCCTAAAGTGGCACACCAGAACCACTGAGGATGATGTGAGTTTCCCCTCAGATAACCTTCCTGAACCTCAGTCTGTCTTAAGAGGTTTAACACTCCACACCGAAACCCCATGCAACCCGGCCCAGAAATAGCCATGACAGATAAAACCGCAGAGACCTGGAAAGGATTTTATACACCTCACGGTCCCAGAGGTCGGCCAGGGCAGCGGTCAGACAACCTCATGTTGTACCGCCAAGAATACCTCAGAAAAGAACTGGTAATACTTCATACTGCTCCAAATCCAAATGCTAATGGTGTTTTGGCAGCTGGGTTTATACGGCCTGTTAGAAAAACCCTTAAAATGCAAGGAAGCGTTTGTGCAGCGTTCCAGCAATCATTATTGGACGTGTTGGTTGACTGGCCATTGTGGCGGGATTGCACCTCATTAATGAGGCTGTCCTGCTTTTGACCTACAGAGAGTGAACTTAACTCGCTTTGCATAAAATTGGCGGTTCCTCTATGAATAATAACTTCCTCTAATGCCCTGAAATGCTCCCTAACGGCAGCGAGTTCAACTTTAAGCTGTAATATTTTAAGTTTGAGCAAAAAAGCTGTGAAGTCTTGACTAAAACAGGTTCATTGAGCTGATTTCTCTGTATGGAATTTATTTTTTTAGTATCAGAATAAAATATAGCAGACACCTGCTGTTTCTCACTGATAATATGTAAACATGATTATCGTCTCTTTGGATTATTAGTCATTGTAGAATCCAGGGATTATAGTAAACCATTATAATATATGACGAATCAGGAATTACAGTTATCTTGAGCCTGTTGTGACTCATGGGTTATTGCTTAAGGGGTAATTTCTCTCAACATAATGATCATATGTGTTATGTGCTCTTTAAATCCTCAGATATGCATTCATACAGTCATGTCAATGTAAGATATCTAACATGAAGCCTGTTTTTTTTCTTTCTTATTTTTGCACTTTCTTAAAATGGCAGTGTGTATTTCTGCAAGGCGGAAAGGAGGACAAATGAATTTTAAGTGAGGATTAAAAGGTCAAAACTCATGTTGCATATTTACACACAAAAAGTGGCCAGCATGTTGTCCTTATTGAGCTCATCTACAAATATTAATGGTGAGGATTTTCAGTATGCTACCAGGCAGTGTTGGCTGTTTGAACAAGTCTTCAAACACGTTCATCCTCTTTTATTTTCTGATATTCATCTGATGAAAAAGAGAAGAAAAGATTAAAAGCTAAAGTTGGTGGAATCACTTACTTTCTTAGACTTCTGCTGGAAAACTTAACTATAAAGTCCCCTGAAAATAGCAAGTAGCTAACAATTAATCTCTGAAAATTGGCCTTTTACCAATTTATTTAACACTAATGTGAGTTGAACTTCATAACCAGCAATAATAAGCAAAGTATGTATACATAATGTTACAAATAGGCCCATTATGACACATCGTTAAGACGTTAATGATCACCAAGTTTTTCTCCCTCAGTTGATCCAAGTCACTGCAGGTACCATTATTATTAGCTGCTCAGATTGGAGGAGACGATCAGAGTCAAAGCAACAAGGAGACGAATTATGGCAGCTTTTGTTTTATGTGTTGGAACAACCAGTTTTATCCCATTTACTGTTAGACATTCTTGCACGTTTACCTTGTGTTTTCAGATTGCATTAGCTAGCAAATAAACCGGCACAAAGAACAGGAGAGAAAAGAGAAGAAGTGCTTCAACCTCAAAACAGCTTTGCACGATTTTGTGATGTTGCAGACGCCGCAACCATTCGTCCTCAAATTAAATTTCAACTTTTTTTTTCAACATTTCAACTTCATTAAAATTTTCTTCAACTTTATTCTCAAAATTTTAACATTATGATTTTTTTCCTTGCACTGTATTGAGGAAATATCGTCCCCCTTCACTATTTCTTTCCTCATCCCTGGCCCTCGTCCTCTTCTGTATGGCCATTGAGGAAATGTAACTTAATTCCTACCAGAGTGGAAACAGAGCTGTGTAAGTTTGAAACTTTTAAGTTGTAAATAAATCTCTAAGGTTTACATAAGAGAGTACCACTGGCTTAAGGGCTGTTAGGCTTTGAAGAGGTCGACTGGGGTCCTCTCAGAGCAAAACAGGCCTTAGAGTTAGAAATAGAAAAGGTCAGTGAGGCAAAATGTGACGACTCAAAGGTCCACACAGTCTTACCTCACAGCTCATGATGTATTGCTTTAGAAATGGTTTCAGCTCTTTGTATGGCTGCCTGACCCTCTACCTCACTGCTTTAGTTCACTCTCATCGTCATCGAGTTGTTTTCTTGCTGCAGCAGGCAGTTGTTTTTGGTGACTAAGCTCCTAAATCCCAAAGTACTAGACGTGCTCAGCATCAATAAGCACAAAGAGTGAGTACGCTATTTGGTGAACATGGTGGAGTGTTAAGCAGCGAAAAACTTTCAAAAGTTTTTCCGTAAAATACCAAAAAGAGAGGGAAAGAAGTGCAGATTTGACTGTCACAGAAAGCAACAAATGAAAAGAAAGGTATTCTTTGTGGAAAAAAGCAAGAATCCTTTGGCTAATCCAGAGTTCGTGTGTCCAGCTGATCCTCCAGCCCTCTGACTTGCCAGTTCTCGTTGTCTCTGTAGATGCATTAAAGCTGTTACCTTGACATGCTCCTTTTATCTGGTGATAAAAGCTTTTCTCTCTCTGTTGCACAGCTTAGCCAAAGTGACAGAGGCTCTGCTGCACCTCTGCTCTGTAATCAACAGCGTGAGTCTGACATCGACGTTTAACCCTTCGTCCACTCCCTGAGCATCTGCGCTGTCACTCACATCTGCTTTCTAACTACATCACCTCAGTAAGGGAGGACAGTCAAGCATGTGTGGCTTTATATGGAAGTTGCTGAGAGCAGAACAATCTGTTTAGTCTGCTTTGGATTTGGACAGGCAAAGCTTATCTTAAGTCTCTGCTGATGTTGTCTACCCCCGTTCTGTTCTGCATCTCTGTCGTTATTTATTGCAGGATATATATTCATGCAATATGTATAAGATATTTTCATCCATATCCCTCAGAGGTGCTCAGGCGTTACTGTTCTGTATAAACATTTTTCTTTGAGTTCAGACAGATGATACCTAAACTCATAGATTTGTACGAAAAATACTATCCGAACTAATACTAAATATTCAAAAATCTCTGTAACGATTAAAATTTTTAATCAGAGCCAACTTTCTCTCGCTCTCAGTTCAGAGTGCAAGGTTGCAAAGAGAGTCTAATTTAATGGTTTCCTTTTCAACACAGCTCTGCAAGCTGCTCCTCAAAAGACAGACGACAGACAAAAGGGATTTTTGTCCTTCACAAAACTGAACTGCGGTAAGAAACTGCAAAGGCATTTTTAAAAAGTCACAAAGGTTTGCTTGATCTTGGAGTGAGAGCAGTGATTTATTGTAGCTATCTGCTCCTGCAAATACATCATTTAGATAGATTACTTATGTCACAAAGAAGGCTGCGTAATGGTCCAACAGTTTGTGAGTTTGCTTCCAAACTATTAAAGCTGTGTACTTTTAAAAGTGTCAGCTTAAGGCAGTAATAAAACCTAAGAACATATCTTAACTAAGAGCTATCTTGCCTTTTAAAATGATTAAAGTTTCATTTTCCAGTCATTTAAGAAAAGACACTTAGGTGCCTTTACTTCAGTAAAGCTTTACTAATTGGAACGACAAACTATATAAAGCTGCTGATATACTCGATCGTGTGAGTGTCACAAGCTTGATTGGAAATAAACTTGACTATACACCATGCTTTTTATTTGGAAGTTTCCTTCAAAGGGCAAACCACAGACTTCAAGCCGTTTGCAACTTCCAGATTCATGGGGTTGTAAACAAGAGACATGGCAGAGTCACCATAGTTACTGCTCTGTCAATTCTGGGTTTCAGAGGCCCCCGGTGAGTGACAATTTCTTGAGCCAGCTCAGGCGACAGTAGATCGGTGAACAACAACACCATGAACACTGCTCTTGCTCGGTTTTTCCAACATTTTTTTCTCTTAAAAGTAAGAAGTTTGTGTCGAACTCTTGTATCCAGATCGCTTTTAATTAACTGGGTGAAGCCACCATGAGAACAGCACCCTCTGGTGACGGGCTGCAATATAGGTCATAAATCCCGCCTCCTCCAGCAATCCCTATAGAGCTGTGGACAAACTTTAGAAATTATTTACAAAGAATATAAATTTTTCTCCCCTCGATTCGGATGTTGACATGTAGTTATTGTAAGACTGGTTGGTGCTCAAGTCCTCTTTTTTCTGTGCAGCTCCATATTTACAAATTATTAGGGGGTTCATGTATTCTATGATTGACACTTGACACAGTAGGTATCGACAGTGCAACCGTTTCACTCACATTTGCGACTGAAAATAGATGTGTGCGAATTGTAAAATGTATCTAGAGTCATGTGTGCATAAAAAAATCAGCTGAGGCATCAAATGCTTTTTCATGTAAATACCGCAGTGAAGTCAGTTTAAGATTGGATATCTGACGGACATTAACTGTGGATCTACTGAAGTCCTCTCACTCTCCATAACCGGGAATAGCAACAGCAGCGCAGTTCATACTCCTCAGCACCCCCGCTGTCAATGTCGGGTGTTGAATAAGGGACCATGGATAAATTACCGGTTGATGTTCTCATAAAAGGCTGTTTTCCTTCAACAGCTTCCATGTCAACTTAGGACCACATGTGCTCCTTGTGAAAAAAGTTAGTGTCAAGCCCTGTACAGCCTGGGGGCGTACGAAGGTGGTGAAGCTCACCGGGGGATACACTGTTTGAACCGAGCGTCATCACAGCAACTCTCCTGCCGAATGTGTACAACGCTACTGCACAAGTGGAGAACATCCTGGAAATACCGAGAGCAATTCAGTTTCAAATTTGTATAATGAATGAAGACTGAGCCAAGTTGTCCATAGTATACACAGTCTATGGTTCATATGTGAATAACTGTAGACCTGGTTCATCGGCTTGTCTTCCAAACTCTCTGCCATTGTTATCCCTGCTCCTGTGTTTATTGTCACTGCCTTCATGCTAACCCTTACTGTTTAAACTCAGATTGTACATGACGAAACTGTTTATTTTTCCCCTCTAGTCCAACAAAGACGTATATATTTTCTTAGAAACTCACACAGTGTCGTTACAAGCTTCTCTTCATTACCAGCAATTATGTAACACTGATCTATGTGGTGCTGAGGTGGAATAAGTCAACTGGAGGTTAAATACAAGTCGAAGAGGAGGCCATGTGGAAACCCTTCCCCGGCCACAGGTTAGAAGCTGGTTCATCAAATAATGAGGAAGGAGTGGAGCCATGCATAAAGATTTCAGTGTCAATATGTCAATATTATTGTTATGCTCAGGGAGTTTCTTCTTCACCAAATCACCTCTGAGAGAAGACCCCTGACCCTCGCCCCTCAATTATGCTTGTTAAGAACTGACTATGTAGAGAAGGACGCAAAGCTCAGATGGAGCTTATTACTTATGCATGGTGATGAACAATAACCATAGATACTAATCAGCATAACGGGTGCACTCTGGTAAATATTTGCCTGACCTCTGATTTCCCCAAGTATTCACTCTCTCCCCTCTCGCCTATGATCATTCATGTGTGATTTAACAGTTTAAGCAGGGTCAATAATACAAACGCCTCAAAGGAGTCTGAATCAATGAGATTTCTCTCCCCCTTTTTAAACAGACACGCTCACATTCTCATGCGCACAGAGGAAAAGCGGGTGCATTAATATTCAAAACAGCCACTGGGTGAACCTGTGTCTGAATTTCAAAAGCTTGTTCGTTATGATCATCCCCTCAGCTGCTCGTTTCACTAAAATGCAAACACAGCTCACCATCATCTTCGCTCTAATACACACAACAATGCTCAAAGCAATGTACATAAGCACTGTAGACTTAACATATAGACTGTGCCCCTGCTGCACTGTATGAACATTTAGATCCAATATCTACTGCAAACATTCTATTAGTAACTTATTTTTTTAAACGTTTTAAATTTTAATGAAAAAAAAACCGAGGTCATGGTGTCGAGACTGTGGTGTCTCCCCTTTTGACCTGTACTCCCTGCATCCATATGTAAAACCCATCGTCATGAACCTTGGTGTAAAAATGGAGAGTGATTTTAGACTTAAGATAAACAGATAAACTCAGTAGTTAAAACCATTTTTTTTATCATCTGGGGCTTTTATCTAAAATTAAATCTGTTGTATCTTTAAATGGTTTTGAGTGTTTGATTCATGCTTTTATCTCGACCCGTTTTGAATACTGTAATGCACTTTACACTGGCATTAACCAGGCCTCCCTCACCCGCTTTTAACAGGAACTTGTAAATGTGATCCCATCACGCCCATTTTCACCTCCCTCCACTGGCTCCCTGTCCATTTTAGAAATAATTCTAAGATTTTATTGTTTTTAAGTCACTGAATGGTCTGGCACCTCAGTATATTAGTGACCTTATACATGTCTACACCCCTTCTAGAGCATTAAAATCTGCGGATCAGCTGTCTTACCATGCCAAAAAGCAGACAAAAGACCAAACTTTTACTTTATTTTTTTTATACTTTATCTGTTGTGCAGCACTTCGGTAACCTTGTTGTTTTTCAAATGTGCCACACAAATAAAGGTGGATTGGATTTGGATAGTAAAATGTTCAGCTACATTTGCATTGTTGTGTGTTAACAGCAGACGTGTTGCTCTACTTTGCCTAAAAGGGGGTCAGGATAACAGAGACAACATGTGGAGTGGGCTACTGATATTAGCATTGACAGGCTAATGGGGCAAAGTGTGAGCTGGCTTTCTGCCTCTGGCGTCTAATGGTTACAGTGTTAAAGCACACAGGGATCACATGAAGGGAGAGCGACAGCTGAGGGGTAGAAGCTCTTTGTGTGTGTTTGTGTGTGTGTGTTTGTGTAGTGTGGGTGATTCACTCCACAGGCCTTTGCTAGATTATCATCTGTTGGGTGGAATCTGATATGGAGGGAAAGCGACTTCAAAGGGAACGTCAATGTTGCATCAACGAACCTGCTTCTGTCAGCCTCTATCTCTCTCTCTCTTTTCTTCTTCTTCTTTTCTTGCCTGCTCATATACACGAACACAGACATGCACACGCACACATCTGTACTGTAAACACATACACAATCGTACTGTACAAAGTCTTGCTCTCAATTCAACTCAGCCTCTTTCTAACCATCGTGGATGCATATGAGGAGATCAACACGAATTAAAATGCATGCACAAAAACACACACACACACACACACACACAAGCTCATACACACAAACAGAGCCGAGCCTGGAGCACAGGAAGTTGGTGTGAACCCGGGGGAGAGAGATGTCACGATGATAGACAGGCCAAATGAAAATAAATGCAGAGTTTTCTGCACCGCAGATCAGAAAACAAGACACTTCTGTGCACGCAGCGTGACCGCATGCTGCTGTTTATTTTGGAGTGGAGAATGTAATTATTCGGCTGCCAATGCTGCTGTTGCTGTTGTTAATCAGTTAAACTCTCAGCTGGAAACTCTTCAATATGATGTTTTGTGAGGAGGTAAGTGAAGGGAGGGGGACAAGTAGTACACTCAGAAAGTCAGATAAAAGCCTTGGCTCTGTTCAGATTTGCAAACAGACGCATCTTCACGCTGTGCTTTTGGCTCTTTGGCGGAAATTTCTATTAAACAACAACAGCAAAGTTTCAATTTCTTGTTTATCACATTGTACAGTGGTGGATTTCACACCCCTATATTAACCTGAATCTTGAAGCAGTTTGAATAAAGATTTTGAACAGTGACCACTTTTTCCGTACTCAGGAGCACCTGAGATAGGTGGTGCGAGGAAATGACAAGTGCATAAATATTCTCATTCCTGTTTTGTTAGCAGAGATACAGGCGGGGGTTATGAGATGTCAAAGATAAACACAACACATTTTGTACCTAAATAACCATGGTCCATGGCCGTGAGGTCAGCTAAGTATGGACTTCTGTAAACTTTTAAAAGCTTATATTTGAAAAGACTCATCTAGGAAAAATGACTAATCTCGCTGGGTCAGATTTAGGGGTAAGGGGGAGCCTTGACGAGTGCAGCGGATCATTTCCTTTAAGTTATACTCCTCATATTAATCATTTTGCTCTGCAGACGCGGTAGTTCTTCTTGCCTTAGCGTCTTGGTCTGATTGCATTTCAATGAAGAAATGATCATAAATGTTCTTCCTTGAGCTGTGAAACTTCACTGCACTCTGTGATTGACTCTTCAGGGCTCCCCCAAAAACAAGCGGCTGCTGGAGGAGAGTGGGTAAGTTGTGTTTCGTCTCTTTGCTAAAGAAATCAGGCAAAGCAAAAAAGATGTTTGATGGCTAGGACCCTATATGAACTGTTGATGAAGTAAGGTGCTGTTCTGAGCATTATTTGTGGCTGTAGAGTGGCTTTTTGGTTGGGGTTTGCGCATGGCTCCGTAGACTGCTGTATATTGCTATCATGCGGTCATTACTCAAGTTGGGATAACTCGAGAAGCAAGCAGTCGGCAACATTCATCTCTCGAGGAGGTGTCTAAATCTGTGTTACGGTGTGTTTGACCCTAATTTAGTTTTACGCCAGAATATCCCTTTAAGGTATGATGACAGGTCACCAAGCTGGACACTGACATTCCTGCTTGCTGGAGAGGAAATGATTTACTCTTCAACGTGCAAAGACCAGCATCGACAGTAAGCTCAGGACCTCCATGACCTCTAGCACAGCGAGGCTGAGGTTTGCCCAGCAAGAGTGCCTGAAGGGTGGACACGGCACCCCTCTGGGAAGTGCCCTTGCCTGTCTTTTTTTTTGCTCTACACTTGCCAATAGCCACAAAAAAGAAAGAACCGGACCATTTCATGCCGTTCTTTCAGTGATGTACTTTTAATGTACTAACTAAAAAAATGTTCGGGCTGATACCAATGTGGACATAATAAGAATTGTTCAGCCATTTGTCTGTTTCACACTTAAAGAAACTGATACAGACCAGCTTACACTCAACTAGAGCTGATTAGGTTTTGGCTATGTCAATTTTTCTCTACATTCATACATTTGTGAAGCTTTTACAGATAATGGATGTTTTTTTTTCTTTTCCACTGTTGATGTTTTAAATGCAAATCTAGAATTAAAGCGTCTATCTCTGATTTCAGTGAGAGGACTGCTACGTGTTTATAGAAAACTTATTTCTGGTTTCAAGTAATAGATGCTGAAATGCTCAGTGAGTCTTTTGTTCAGCTATACACTAAGAGATGAGGAGCTTGAAAACAGGCTCCAGTCGTCTCGATATTTCCCCATCTCTCAGATGAGATGCTGCAGACATGACATTTATTGCAGGCCAAAACAAATATTAGATTCATCCTGGTTGTCTTGATGAAAAGCCAATTTGATTTTTATTGGATTTTGGTATCATTGCAGAGAATAAATTGTGTAGCAAAAAAAAAAAAAAAAATTGATGAACTGTATTTTACAACAGAGTATTAGGGCCACACGAAGAAGAAAAAAAAAAAGACTTCGAGATTAAAGTCGTTCATTTACGAGAATTAAGTCATTACTAACAAGAATAAAGCCGTAATAAAATCATTGTGATACTTATGATAATGTAGTGCTGTGGTGCCAAGAAATTAAGTATCTCCTTGTTTGAGAAACCCATATTGAAGTACATTTTTACAAAATGCAAAATGTCATCTTAAACAACAGGTTAGAATATAAGGACTTTATTCTGACTTTACTCTATTAGTAATTACTTTATTCTGACTTTATCCTCATAAGTAATTATTTTATTATAACTTTACTCTCACAAGTGATAACTTTATTCTCAGAAGTTAACGACTTTAATCTCAAAGTCTCAAGAGTCCCTTATACTCCGTCGTATTATTCTAAAAGCAAGATAAATAAAAATAGATGTGAGTCATTTAATAGCAAAAACATTCACTAAAATCAAATGCTATTAAATGTTCCACAGCACATGAGCACAAGTTAAACATTTCCACAGTCCATATTGACAACTTGGAGTGGGATATTCACTTATTCATCAGCGAAGGCTCAAAATGTGTGTTTACTTTCTACATTTGTGTTACTCTTTTCCAGATTTCTAATCCAAAAGTAATTCTGAAAAACTAAGAGAAAAGGATAATAAACCACTCTCAGGGCTGAAGTTCTCACCAATTTTGCACATTTTGTTATCCAACCTTGCACCGTTCCACATTTGAGAACAAACAGTAACTTGGCAGACGAAATGTTAAACAGTCAACAACAGTGGTCTTCAGTCAGAGTGTTTTACACCGAGAACACACTTAAGTTACAACAGAGTGTGATGAATAACTTACACTGTCAGCTCTCTGATAAGTGTAGATACATGTCTGCTTTGGGTGTGTGGAAGTGAGAGCTGAACAGGAAATGCTGCTCGGTAAAGTTGGGATTTTTGTTTTTTTTTGCCTCATCTGGAGCCTGATAAGAACCACCGTCCGTGAGATGACGATACCACAGTTGTATTAATTTCAGCTCCGCGTCTCTGACTTTTATGTTTGAAAACCAGGCACTGAAAAGTCTTTCTCTGCCAAAAGATTGTCTGCATCTGGTGCCGCCAGCCTCTCTGCAGCTCTCGACACCGGTTTGATCATCTGTTCTGAATTTGAAATGCTCTTCACTCAAAATTTTCACCTTGAGGGCCTCTGCCAAGTCACCGGTCACGATGCCTCTTCTTGTTCCACCCTCTTTCCTCCTGGTGTGAGTGTGTGTCTTTTGTGTGTAAGTGCGGGGCTTAATGCATGTGTTATCTGCCCTTGCAGATTAGCTTGGCAGGAAGTGGCAGTGTGTACGTTGTGTGTGTACCATGCTGGAGTTAACACCCTCTCAAAGTCAATGACTCCTCCTAGTCAAAGTCAGCAAGCCGCTGATGGCCTCAGTATAACTGTCCCTGTGAGGCAGTGCACTGGCTCTTTGTATGTGTGTGTGTGTGACAGGAACAAGGTGACGCACGAGACAGTCCTCTACTTATGACTGACGCGAAATCCGACTGTTCTGACCTCACTTCTGTTGCAAACACAGTCCAGAGAGCAAACACAAAGTTCACTCTCATCGTCATCGAGTTGTTTTCTTGCAGCAGCAGGCAGTTGTTTTTAGTGACTAAGCTCCTAAATCCCAAAGTACTAGACGTGCTCAGCATCAATAAGCACAAAGAGTGAGTACGCTATTTGGTGAACATGGTGGAGTGTTAAGCAGCGAAAAACTTTCAAAAGTTTTTCCGTAAAATACCAAAAAGAGAGGGAAAGAAGTGCAGATTTGACTGTCACAGAAAGCAACAAATGAAAAGAAAGGTATTCTTTGTGGAAAAAAGCAAGAATCCTTTGGCTAATCCAGAGTTCGTGTGTCCAGCTGATCCTCCAGCCCTCTGACTTGCCAGTTCTCGTTGTCTCTGTAGATGCATTAAAGCTGTTACCTTGACATGCTCCTTTTATCTGGTGATAAAAGCTTTTCTCTCTCTGTTGCACAGCTTAGCCAAAGTGACAGAGGCTCTGCTGCACCTCCGGCTCTGTAATCAACAGCGTGAGTCTGACATCGACGTTTAACCCTTCGTCCACTCCCTGAGCATCTGCGCTGTCACTCACATCTGCTTTCTAACTACATCACCTCAGTAAGGGAGGACAGTCAAGCATGTGTGGCTTTATATGGAAGTTGCTGAGAGCAGAACAATCTGTTTAGTCTGCTTTGGATTTGGACAGGCAAAGCTTATCTTAAGTCTCTGCTGATGTTGTCTACCCCCGTTCTGTTCTGCATCTCTGTCGTTATTTATTGCAGGATATATATTCATGCAATATGTATAAGATATTTTCATCCATATCCCTCAGAGGTGCTCAGGCGTTACTGTTCTGTATAAACATTTTTCTTTGAGTTCAGACAGATGATACCTAAACTCATAGATTTGTACAAAAAATACTATCCGAACTAATACTAAATATTCAAACATCTCTGTGTAAATTTGAAAAACAGTTAAAATTTTTAATCAGAGCCAACTTTCTCTCGCTCTCAGTTCAGAGTGCAAGGTTGCAAAGAGAGTCTAATTTAATGGTTTCCGTTTCAACACAGCTCTGCAAGCTGCTCCTCAAAAGACAGACGACAGACAAAAGGGATTTTTGTCCTTCACAAAACTGAACTGCGGTAAGAAACTGCAAAGGCATTTTTAAAAAGTCACAAAGGTTTGCTTGATCTTGGAGTGAGTGCAGTGATTTATTGCAGCTATCTGCTCCTGCAAATACATCATTTAGATAGATTACTTATGTCACAAAGAAGGCTGCGTAATGGTCCAACAGTTTGTGAGTTTGCCTCCAAACTATTAAAGCTGTGTACTTTTAAAAGTGTCAGCTTAAGGCAGTAATAAAACCTAAGAACATATCTTAACTAAGAGCTATCTTGCCTTATCAAATGATTAAAGTTTCATTTTCCAGTCATTAAAGAAAAGACACTTAGGTGCCTTTACTTCAGTAAAGCCTTACTAATTGGAACGATAAACTATATAAAGCTGCTGATATACTCGATCGTGTGAGTGTCACGAGCTTGATAATAATAAACTTGACTATACACCATGCTTGTTATTTAGAAGTTTCCTTCAAAGGGCAAACCACAGACTTCAAGCCGTTTGCAACTTCCAGATTCATGGGGTTGTAAACAAGAGACATGGCAGAGTCACCATAGTTACTGCTCTGTCAATTCTGGGTTTCAGAGGCCCCCGGTGAGTGACAATTTCTTGAGCCAGCTCAGGCGACAATAGATCGGTGAACAACAACACCATGAACACTGCTCTTGCTCGGTTTTTCCAACATTTTTTTCTCTTAAAAGTAAGAAGTTTGTGTCGAACTCTTGCATCCAGATCGCTTTTAATTAACTGGGTGAAGACACCATGAGAACAGCACCCTCTGGTGACGGGCTGCAATATAGGTCATAAATCCCGCCTCCTCCAGCAATCCCTATAGAGCTGTGGACAAACTTTAGAAATTATTTACAAAGAATATAAATTTTTCTCCCCTCGATTCGGATGTTGACATGTAGTTATTGTAAGACTGGTTGGTGCTCAAGTCCTCTTTTTTTCTGTGCAGCTCCATATTTACAAATTATTAGGGGGTTCATGTATTCTATGATTGACACTTGACACAGTAGGTATCGACAGTGCGACCGTTTCACTCACATTTGCGACTGAAAATAGATGTGTGCGAATTGTAAAATGTATCTAGAGTCATGTGTGCATAAAAAAATCAGCTGAGGCATCAAATGCTTTTTCATGTAAATACCGCAGTGAAGTCAGTTTAAGATTGGATATCTGACGGACATTAACTGTGGATCTACTGAAGTCCTCTCACTCTCCATAACCGGGAATAGCAACAGCAGCGCAGTTCATACTCCTCAGCACCCCCGCTGTCAATGTCGGGTGTTGAATAAGGGACCATGGATAAATTACCGGTTGATGTTCTCATAAAAGGCTGTTTTCCTTCAACAGCTTCCATGTCAACTTAGGACCACATGTGCTCCTTGTGAAAAAAGTTAGTGTCAAGCCCTGTACAGCCTGGGGGCGTACGAAGGTGGTGAAGCTCACCGGGGGATACACTGTTTGAACCGAGCGTCATCACAGCAACTCTCCTGCCGAATGTGTACAACGCTACTGCACAAGTGGAGAACATCCTGGAAATACCGAGAGCAATTCAGTTTCAAATTTGTATAATGAATGAAGACTGAGCCAAGTTGTCCATAGTATACACAGTCTATGGTTCATATGTGAATAACTGTAGACCTGGTTCATCGGCTTGTCTTCAAAACTCTCTGCAATTGTTATCCCTGCTCCTGTGTTTATTGTCACTGCCTTCATGCTAACCCCTACTGTTTAAACTCAGATTGTACATGACGAAACTGTTTATTTTTCCCCTCTAGTCCAACAAAGACGTATATATTTTCTTAGAAACTCACACAGTGTCGTTACAAGCTTCTCTTCATTACCAGCAATTATGTAACACTGATCTATGTGGTGCTGAGGTGGAATAAGTCAACTGGAGGTTAAATACAAGTCGAAGAGGAGGCCATGTGGAAACCCTTCCCCGGCCACAGGTTAGAAGCTGGTTCATCAAATAATGAGGAAGGAGTGGAGCCATGCATAAAGATTTCAGTGTCAATATGTCAATATTATTGTTATGCTCAGGGAGTTTCTTCTTCACCAAATCACCTCTGAGAGAAGACCCCTGACCCTCGCCCCTCAATTATGCTTGTTAAGAACTGACTATGTAGAGAAGGACGCAAAGCTCAGATGGAGCTTATTACTTATGCATGGTGATGAACAATAACCATAGATACTAATCAGCATAACGGGTGCACTCTGGTAAATATTTGCCTGACCTCTGATTTCCCCAAGTATTCACTCTCTCCCCTCTCGCCTATGATCATTCATGTGTGATTTAACAGTTTAAGCAGGGTCAATAATACAAACGCCTCAAAGGAGTCTGAATCAATGAGATTTCTCTCCCCCTTTTTAAACAGACACGCTCACATTCTCATGCGCACAGAGGAAAAGCGGGTGCATTAATATTCAAAACAGCCACTGGGTGAACCTGTGTCTGAATTTCAAAAGCTTGTTCGTTATGATCATCCCCTCAGCTGCTCGTTTCACTAAAATGCAAACACAGCTCACCATCATCTTCGCTCTAATACACACAACAATGCTCAAAGCAATGTACATAAGCACTGTAGACTTAACATATAGACTGTGCCCCTGCTGCACTGTATGAACATTTAGATCCAATATCTACTGCAAACATTCTATTAGTAACTTATTTTTTTAAACGTTTTAAATTTTAATGAAAAAAAAACCGAGGTCATGGTGTCGAGACTGTGGTGTCTCCCCTTTTGACCTGTACTCCCTGCATCCATATGTAAAACCCATCGTCATGAACCTTGGTGTAAAAATGGAGAGTGATTTTAGACTTAAGATAAACAGATAAACTCAGTAGTTAAAACCATTTTTTTTTATCATCTGGGGCTTTTATCTAAAATTAAATCTGTTGTATCTTTAAATGGTTTCGAGTGTTTGATTCATGCTTTTATCTCGACCCGTTTTGAATACTGTAATGCACTTTACACTGGCATTAACCAGGCCTCCCTCACCCGCTTTTAACAGGAACTTGTAAATATGATCCCATCACGCCCATTTTCACCTCCCTCCACTGGCTCCCTGTCCATTTTAGAAATAATTCTAAGATTTTATTGTTTTTAAGTCACTGAATGGTTTGGCACCTCAGTATATTAGTGACCTTATACATGTCTACACCCCTTCTAGAGCATTAAAATCTGCGGATCAGCTGTCTTACCATGCCAAAAAGCAGACAAAAGACCAAACTTTTACTTTATTTTTTTTATACTTTATCTGTTGTGCAGCACTTCGGTAACCTTGTTGTTTTTCAAATGTGCCACACAAATAAAGGTGGATTGGATTTGGATAGTAAAATGTTCAGCTACATTTGCATTGTTGTGTGTTAACAGCAGACGTGTTGCTCTACTTTGCCTAAAAGGGGGTCAGGATAACAGAGACAACATGTGGAGTGGGCTACTGATATTAGCATTGACAGGCTAATGGGGCAAAGTGTGAGCTGGCTTTCTGCCTCTGGCGTCTAATGGTTACAGTGTTAAAGCACACAGGGGTCACATGAAGGGAGAGCGACAGCTGAGGGGTAGAAGCTCTTTGTGTGTGTTTGTGTGTGTGTGTTTGTGTAGTGTGGGTGATTCACTCCACAGGCCTTTGCTAGATTATCATCTGTTGGGTGGAATCTGATATGGAGGGAAAGCGACTTCAAAGGGAACGTCAATGTTGCATCAACGAACCTGCTTCTGTCAGCCTCTATCTCTCTCTCTCTTTTCTTCTTCTTCTTTTCTTGCCTGCTCATATACACGAACACAGACATGCACACGCACACATCTGTACTGTAAACACATACACAATCGTACTGTACAAAGTCTTGCTCTCAATTCAACTCAGCCTCTTTCTAACCATCGTGGATGCATATGAGGAGATCAACACGAATTAAAATGCATGCACAAAAACACACACACACACACACACACACAAGCTCATACACACAAACAGAGCCGAGCCTGGAGCACAGGAAGTTGGTGTGAACCCGGGGGAGAGAGATGTCACGATGATAGACAGGCCAAATGAAAATAAATGCAGAGTTTTCTGCACCGCAGATCAGAAAACAAGACACTTCTGTGCACGCAGCGTGACCGCATGCTGCTGTTTATTTTGGAGTGGAGAATGTAATTATTCGGCTGCCAATGCTGCTGTTGCTGTTGTTAATCAGTTAAACTCTCAGCTGGAAACTCTTCAATATGATGTTTTGTGAGGAGGTAAGTGAAGGGAGGGGGACAAGTAGTACACTCAGAAAGTCAGATAAAAGCCTTGGCTCTGTTCAGATTTGCAAACAGACGCATCTTCACGCTGTGCTTTTGGCTCTTTGGCGGAAATTTCTATTAAACAACAACAGCAAAGTTTCAATTTCTTGTTTATCACATTGTACAGTGGTGGATTTCACACCCCTATATTAACCTGAATCTTGAAGCAGTTTGAATAAAGATTTTGAACAGTGACCACTTTTTCCGTACTCAGGAGCACCTGAGATAGGTGGTGCGAGGAAATGACAAGTGCATAAATATTCTCATTCCTGTTTTGTTAGCAGAGATACAGGCGGGGGTTATGAGATGTCAAAGATAAACACAACACATTTTGTACCTAAATAACCATGGTCCATGGCCGTGAGGTCAGCTAAGTATGGACTTCTGTAAACTTTTAAAAGCTTATATTTGAAAAGACTCATCTAGGAAAAATGACTAATCTCGCTGGGTCAGATTTAGGGGTAAGGGGGAGCCTTGACGAGTGCAGCGGATCATTTCCTTTAAGTTATACTCCTCATATTAATCATTTTGCTCTGCAGACGCGGTAGTTCTTCTTGCCTTAGCGTCTTGGTCTGATTGCATTTCAATGAAGAAATGATCATAAATGTTCTTCCTTGAGCTGTGAAACTTCACTGCACTCTGTGATTGACTCTTCAGGGCTCCCCCAAAAACAAGCGGCTGCTGGAGGAGAGTGGGTAAGTTGTGTTTCGTCTCTTTGCTAAAGAAATCAGGCAAAGCAAAAAAGATGTTTGATGGCTAGGACCCTATATGAACTGTTGATGAAGTAAGGTGCTGTTCTGAGCATTATTTGTGGCTGTAGAGTGGCTTTTTGGTTGGGGTTTGCGCATGGCTCCGTAGACTGCTGTATATTGCTATCATGCGGTCATTACTCAAGTTGGGATAACTCGAGAAGCAAGCAGTCGGCAACATTCATCTCTCGAGGAGGTGTCTAAATCTGTGTTACGGTGTGTTTGACCCTAATTTAGTTTTACGCCAGAATATCCCTTTAAGGTATGATGACAGGTCACCAAGCTGGACACTGACATTCCTGCTTGCTGGAGAGGAAATGATTTACTCTTCAACGTGCAAAGACCAGCATCGACAGTAAGCTCAGGACCTCCATGACCTCTAGCACAGCGAGGCTGAGGTTTGCCCAGCAAGAGTGCCTGAAGGGTGGACACGGCACCCCTCTGGGAAGTGCCCTTGCCTGTCTTTTTTTTTGCTCTACACTTGCCAATAGCCACAAAAAAGAAAGAACCGGACCATTTCATGCCGTTCTTTCAGTGATGTACTTTTAATGTACTAACTAAAAAAATGTTCGGGCTGATACCAATGTGGACATAATAAGAATTGTTCAGCCATTTGTCTGTTTCACACTTAAAGAAACTGATACAGACCAGCTTACACTCAACTAGAGCTGATTAGGTTTTGGCTATGTCAATTTTTCTCTACATTCATACATTTGTGAAGCTTTTACAGATAATGGATGTTTTTTTTTCTTTTCCACTGTTGATGTTTTAAATGCAAATCTAGAATTAAAGCGTCTATCTCTGATTTCAGTGAGAGGACTGCTACGTGTTTATAGAAAACTTATTTCTGGTTTCAAGTAATAGATGCTGAAATGCTCAGTGAGTCTTTTGTTCAGCTATACACTAAGAGATGAGGAGCTTGAAAACAGGCTCCAGTCGTCTCGATATTTCCCCATCTCTCAGATGAGATGCTGCAGACATGACATTTATTGCAGGCCAAAACAAATATTAGATTCATCCTGGTTGTCTTGATGAAAAGCCAATTTGATTTTTATTGGATTTTGGTATCATTGCAGAGAATAAATTGTGTAGCAAAAAAAAAAAAAAAAATTGATGAACTGTATTTTACAACAGAGTATTAGGGCCACACGAAGAAGAAAAAAAAAAAGACTTCGAGATTAAAGTCGTTCATTTACGAGAATTAAGTCATTACTAACAAGAATAAAGCCGTAATAAAATCATTGTGATACTTATGATAATGTAGTGCTGTGGTGCCAAGAAATTAAGTATCTCCTTGTTTGAGAAACCCATATTGAAGTACATTTTTACAAAATGCAAAATGTCATCTTAAACAACAGGTTAGAATATAAGGACTTTATTCTGACTTTACTCTATTAGTAATTACTTTATTCTGACTTTATCCTCATAAGTAGTTATTTTATTATAACTTTACTCTCACAAGTGATAACTTTATTCTCAGAAGTTAACGACTTTAATCTCAAAGTCTCAAGAGTCCCTTATACTCCGTCGTATTATTCTAAAAGCAGGATAAATAAAAATAGATGTGAGTCATTTAATAGCAAAAACATTCACTAAAATCAAATGCTATTAAATGTTCCACAGCACATGAGCACAAGTTAAACATTTCCACAGTCCATATTGACAACTTGGAGTGGGATATTCACTTATTCATCAGCGAAGGCTCAAAATGTGTGTTTACTTTCTACATTTGTGTTACTCTTTTCCAGATTTCTAATCCAAAAGTAATTCTGAAAAACTAAGAGAAAAGGATAATAAACCACTCTCAGGGCTGAAGTTCTCACCAATTTTGCACATTTTGTTATCCAACCTTGCACCGTTCCACATTTGAGAACAAACAGTAACTTGGCAGACGAAATGTTAAACAGTCAACAACAGTGGTCTTCAGTCAGAGTGTTTTACACCGAGAACACACTTAAGTTACAACAGAGTGTGATGAATAACTTACACTGTCAGCTCTCTGATAAGTGTAGATACATGTCTGCTTTGGGTGTGTGGAAGTGAGAGCTGAACAGGAAATGCTGCTCGGTAAAGTTGGGATTTTTGTTTTTTTTTGCCTCATCTGGAGCCTGATAAGAACCACCGTCCGTGAGATGACGATACCACAGTTGTATTAATTTCAGCTCCGCGTCTCTGACTTTTATGTTTGAAAACCAGGCACTGAAAAGTCTTTCTCTGCCAAAAGATTGTCTGCATCTGGTGCCGCCAGCCTCTCTGCAGCTCTCGACACCGGTTTGATCATCTGTTCTGAATTTGAAATGCTCTTCACTCAAAATTTTCACCTTGAGGGCCTCTGCCAAGTCACCGGTCACGATGCCTCTTCTTGTTCCACCCTCTTCCTCCTGGTGTGAGTGTGTGTCTTTTGTGTGTAAGTGCGGGGCTTAATGCATGTGTTATCTGCCCTTGCAGATTAGCTTGGCAGGAAGTGGCAGTGTGTACGTTGTGTGTGTACCATGCTGGAGTTAACACCCTCTCAAAGTCAATGACTCCTCCTAGTCAAAGTCAGCAAGCCGCTGATGGCCTCAGTATAACTGTCCCTGTGAGGCAGTGCACTGGCTCTTTGTATGTGTGTGTGTGTGACAGGAACAAGGTGACGCACGAGACAGTCCTCTACTTATGACTGACGCGAAATCCGACTGTTCTGACCTCACTTCTGTTGCAAACACAGTCCAGAGAGCAAACACAAAGCAAGGACGGTCGAGGCGTTAATCTGCAGCTAAAAGCAAATTCTCCCAGTATAAACACATCCTGCTGAAAAAAGACCCACTCTTCCTCCTATCGCTGAAATGAATGGACAGTAAAGCTCCGGCTTGTGCAGTATCTCTCCTTTTCTGTCAAAACACTTATGAAAAATTACCCCTACCTAGCTCCAACTGTGTTTACACTGAGAACAGGACACTCCGTCCTCTTCGAACCACATTTTTAACAAGTCATCATTAAAAACTTGAACCAGAGTCCTTTGTTACAGGAGCCAGAGGGCAACCTCAGAGTCTCAAGGCAGGCTTGCATTACTCACGCTTAAAAATGGCTGCAAGAACGTGTTGTGACAAACAGGGAGCTCCAAAGGTCTCTATTGTGGGATTTTTCGATCACTAGCTGGAAGTAAATCGGGCCTGAACAAAGGCAGAGTCCTCGGGGAGCTCATTTATTGTGTAAATTACTCATCCGCTCATCCAGTCATTATAGAGAATTGTCTACTTCTCCATCCAGGTATCACAGCTGGTTTCAAAGCTGGTTTCGATGTTCCCACTTATTCGTCCCATTGTCCTATTGTCTTGCTAGTTTAATGTTTAAACAGTTTCTTTCACTCACCTGAGAGACTCACTACCTGCAGCAGACATCAGGGAGCAGTATAATGGCTGTGCACGTATGATCGCACATTCAGCCTCACACCGGCGCACAAACACGGCTTTTATGCACACGCACTTACAGTAAACACACTCAAACAATTCTCACTGTCATGCAAAATCATAAAAGCTCCCACCGGCTGCCCCCGGGCAGGTTTTCACACAGACACGCAGGAGGCGAGAGCGGGATTTTTCACAGAGGAGCTGGCTTTTGTGTGAATGAACAAAGGGAATCTCCTTCCTCTTCTGCCTCCTCATAGCCTCTAAATCCTATCATGTGCCACCACTCGTCTCCCACACGCCTGTTTCCAAGTTACCGGCAGAGTCGACTGCCAATCTCTCTTAATTGCCTCCTGTGCAAAGTGACAGCCGAGGAGAGTCGAGCGATGAGAGCGGAGCTGTCCCTGTGTTTTCCTGTGGCTCACTCACTGCTGAGAGGAGCTACCTGAGAGGCACACGGTGCACCTTTAGGAAATTACAGTTGTGTTGATCTTGGGCGAAACTTCTGTGACACAATGGAACAAATGGAACAATGGAACAAAAAGACTTTAAATGTTGTGAAAGAAACTCGATTTAGGGAGGATATCTAATTCACATCTAAATGCACTCTCTCAGGGATTGAAAAGCACGTTAATTTAAAATACTTTGCATAGGAAATGTCTCCCTAAAGATAAAGTAAAGACCAGGGGGTCAAAGAAAAAAACAGACAGTGTTTGTTTTAATAATAAGCAGCTTTTCCTCACTAACCTCGCCCGGAGAACAAGAGAGGATCTCCTCGCTGACTCCCGCTCACAGTATTTGCCACCCTGTTGCTCCTTGTTCCCTCTTCCTTTGTTGCGTCTTCCTCACAAATAGATCCTCTTCATCCTCAGGACCGGCGCTGGAGTTAACAGCTCATGAGGGAGGGAGGGAAGCCGGGCGGAAGAGAAAGAAAACACACCCAGAGAAGAAAAGAAACACACTCTCTCTTCTCACCCCTAAGTCCTCCTTGGCAGTGTATCCCCATCCGTCAGAGCTCAGCGACTGAGAGTGTGTGAGAGAGAGAGAGAGAGATGAAACGATACTGAGTAAGTGGGCGAGTGAGAGAGAAAGTGAGAGAGGGAGGGGAGAGAGGAGGGTGATCCTCTGTACTGTATGAGCTCCTGTTTATCTCTGCGTGTCTCCTCTGCATGCATTCCTTCCCGACAAGAAGCCACAAGGTCAGAAGCTTTTACAGTAACGAGACTTTGTTTCCTCTTGAGGGAAAAGACTTCCTGTTAGTCCGACGCTCAACTTTCCTCATGACTGAAACCACTTTACACTTGATGGTTTTTCTTTCCTTTCATTCGCTCTCTTTCCCACAAACAATCTGCCTTTATATTCCTGTCTGAGGGAGACTTTATCTAATCTCCCCTCTGCCCGCACTGACTGTCCGGAGGTTATCCTCGGACCAGGAACCCTCTGCAGTTTAGTTTATATACTCACTATAAACATATACACAATCAAAAGAAAAGAAAACAATAACCCACAATGCTGTTTGTTTGACAGTTTCACTAATACAAATACAGGGAAAAAGACAATAAGAAGCTAATCTAGAGTGTGGGGTTAAAATTGAGCAATCTGGATGTGTCACCTGCTGGGATATTTTTATGGATTTCTGATTAAAATATCACCATCTTGAGTTACAGCAGAAATAATTACCACATTTACCAATAATTAAGACAACAAAAGTTACAGCCTGGATTTAATGCTCTAACAATTTCCCTCTAAATTGAATAATAAGAATTATTTATCTGGTTATATAAAAAAAAGTGTTAATTTCCGTTTATAAACTCCTAGGATTTCTTGCTTTTCTGTTTGATATTATAAGAAACTAAAGAGTTTTGGTACAAAGATGGTCAGATTCGCGTTTAGATATCCAAATTATTGTTTGAAATTACTTTTTTGTAAATAGTTTCAGGTATTTTTGCCTTGGGAAAACTGAAGTGAGACAGGAGATGGAGGAACAGAGTGTAGATGAGGATGCGCAGCAAAGGGGTGTGGCGGAGAATTGAACCAGCGATCTGTGCGATGAGGATCATAGCCTCTATAGCCTCCAGCTTAGACCACGAGTGTTGTGTCGTTCATAAATGATCCGTTCAAAAAAACGGATCTGCTGAGTGAACGACGCGAATGGAATCACTCCAAGACCTGATTCTCACTTTCTCAGTTAAGCTGAGCCCAGCCGCGAGCGTGGAAATGCCGCCTTTGCCTCTTTGGCGAGCGACACACAGCTAGCCAACCAGCGAACAGGTGGGCGTAGTCTTGTGATTTCCTCACAGCGAATGAACAACATGTATCAGTCAGACTGTGAACGAAGTTACCGACTTCTGTACGGCTTGAAGCAGGCAGAGGAGGGAGGGGCTTAGCGTTGTTCACAAACTAATCTCCCCACTTTTCCACGCCAAAAGAACAATGACGCGCGCTCGTTTAGCGGGCGTGCTGTCTGCTGCTGTGCTGTTGCACTCACGTCGCGATGTGAACGTTGTTATTGTTAAACGTTCTTGTTTAAAGGCTGGGCTTAATGTTGGTTATGTTTTAAGATGTTAAAAACAAAGTATGTGTTATCAGTGGGGTGAACTGTTTTTTAAAGGGACAGCAGAGTTTGTGTATGTAATCTGTACTCCTCTCTGCTCTGCTGACTCCTGGTGTGACATGGCAGACCGAGAGCTTAAGGGTCTCCCCTGAGAGCACTGCACTGTTTAATCAATATGCATGTGAAACAGTGGATCAATTAGGACCCACATTTCAGCCAAAGGTGATTCAGAGGCCGACTTGTCAGCTTCCTCTGTATTGTTGATAAAGTGTCAAAATGTCGTGAGTCACAGACAGACACACAGAGAAGTGATAGAAATCTTCAATCACACCACAGATGAAGTGATAATGAAACTCTCCAGAGTCGTGAAACGCAGAGGACGGACATATGGCGGTGTCATCTAGAGGCTGCGTGGCGGCCCTCTGACCGGGCAAGTAAAGGGTTTTCCCACAGAGCTCTGTGGGTGCTGACCCAGCTGATACTTCGGCAGGATCGGGTTTAGATAAGGGCCGGTTTCTGTTTTTGACAGGACAGGCCTGAGGCGCAGTGTGTGTGAACTGGAGTGTATGATGAACAGCCAGGAAGAAATACGGAAACAAGCAATGTAATGCTCAGTCGTAGTGAGCGTCCATACTTTGCCATGTAGACTTTAAGAGTGTTTAGAGGAAATATCTGTAACTACTCATAACTAAAGTAGTCATTTCCGATCCAGAGCAATCATCCGAACACTGTTATCTGTGCTGCTCTCCCTCTGAGACCGGCAATCAGTGCAACTTGGAGAGGTTTTAATAGCCAAGCTAAATCAGTTTTTCAAATGTGTTTGTGTTTGAAAATAAACAGGAAAATGTCAGACAAAATGATAGTATTTGTCACTGAAAAGAGCTCTGGTCTCATTCTTACCAGGACTGCTGCCACGGTGCGACATAGTAAATATTACACATTTTGCTTACAACTTACATGAAATATTAAGTGGATAGAAAATGTTCTTGGAAAACGAGGTCACGAGAAATGAATGCAAAGCAAGAAAGCAGCGCGGTTTGTTTGCTGGCGGCACTTAGTCACAAGATACAACCTCTGATGACTGCACATCAGACAGAAAGCACACTAATGCCTTTCAGACTTAAGCACATCAGTCATGCAGCGCAGTGTTCTCCCCAGGTGTGAATCCTCTCTGGACTGGAGTGAACATGGAGATCAGGGCGCTGTTTTAGCCTTAGTACAGGGGCTACAGTCTTTGAAGCAGCAGCTTGTGGTTCCACTTGCACAATTAACCCTTTGCTACATCGTTCCTCATCTTCTCTGCCCTGTTCCCACTTCTAACCACTATTTCATCTTCCATTAAAGCATGAAAAAGCCCTAAAAATAAGTATAAAAATAAAGACTGAGTACACTGAGGTCGTCTGTCGAGATGCAGGGTAAATAAAAAGCTCCTTACTTGAATCATCTGGGCGGATTATTAAATATGTACTGATTGTAAAAAACAGGATTGATGCCAATGTTTAAAATTATATTTATAGTGCGTTCCAGTTGTACTCAGAAGTCCGGGTTTCCAAGCCCTGAGTCAGAATTTTCAACTGAAATGACCCCAGAGGTCGGATTTCCAACTCTGAAAGTTGGACGATATTTGTCCAGAAGTTGTTTATATTCGGAAAGGGCAAGCGAAAGAATAACTTCCATTCGGGTGACCATATTCTGACTTCCCACAAAGAGGACATGACTACGCAGAGCGGAGTCACGGAGTTGCACAAAGTTAATTTTGACAGTTTTTTTGGATCGGATCGAGTGTCTTTTACGGGCTTCTAACTCAGGAAGTCCACGTGACACAAACTTGAAACTTCTGTACAAAACCAAGGACATTTGAGGGATTTTATAAACTTCCCCAGACAAACCCAGACAGCCCCCCAAAAAGAGGACATATCTGGGTAAAAGAGAACATATGGTCACCCTAAATTCTGTAGATGTAGCCATCTTGTTCCTGCTTCCATTTTTGGCCGTTGCCTACCTTTTTTCGGCCTTGTTACTGAAACGCTGATAACTTGGGCATAACGTCATTTCCAGGTCCGACTTCCGAGGTAAATGGAACACACCATTTGTCTTTTATTGATTCCAATACTGTTAGTTATTGTTCAATTCTTTAAAGGGGTGCAATGGATAAAAAATCCCATGTTTCGGTTTAGTTTACGGATCAAAGGTCTTGGTTCAGTTTGGTGCACAGATTGGCCAAAGCAATTAAAATTCAACGCTTGGGTCACCTTAAATTATTCAGAAACTTTGATTCAAACTAGGACTTAACCTAAACTTCTCAACATCTTCTATGTGTGTTTGTTTCAGCCATCTAGCCGTGTGTACGTCAGGTCACACAATGAACGCATAACTTTGGGCCTCACTGATTTAAATGTCCTTGTGTTTGCTGCCCTAGCCTACCGTGCGTAAGTACTGTCCCTGCTCTCACCTTGACAGTTACTTTTTTAATGAGCGAAGTTGTGTCTGAACTCTAACCTTTGGCTTGGAAGAAGAGAGGACCAGCACAGTGCAACAGACAGTATGTTCCTAAGCAAAACTGTCCAACTGGGACTGTTGAAGTGGAGACAGTGTTTTCAAGTTGGGTCTGAATGAACCATCATGACATTCCCCCCTAAAAACACAACAAAATGTAGGCAGGCCTCTCTCTCTTGCTCGTATTGGTGCGTCAAGAAATAGTGGTCTAAACTGCATGGGATGATCCAATCCAATCAAGGACCCTCTGTTGTACGTTGCACTAATAATTCTTCATGATTATTTGTGTTTGCTTTTTTTAACTGAGAAATGAGACTGACTTAGTTGAATTGTGAGTCTCTACGGCATATTTCTGGTCTTTCTTGGGGTCAATGTAATACTCCCACACTGCCGACATTTTCATTCACTTTTGACCATAAAAATAAATCAGTTTGTCCAAACTCTTACTTGAAATCAAAGAGTTCAATGATCGGCTGATGCCTCTCAGTGGGACAAATATTGTAGGGTGACCATACGTCCTCTTTTATTTGGACATGTCCTCTTCTTTGAGGGCTGTCTGGCTTTGTCCAGGGAAGTTTATAAATCCTTCAAATGTCCACGGTTTTGTACGAAAGTTTCGATTTTGTGTCACGTAGACTTACCGAGTTAGAAGCATGTAAAAGACACTTAGTGCAACTCCGTGACTCCGCCCCTGCGTAGTTGTGGCCTCTTTTTGGGAAGTCAGATTATGATCACTCTAAAATATTGTCTGGTGTCAACATCCTACATCAGTGTATCACAACTGATAATTAATACAAAAACCTTTAAGCATTTTTCCATTTATCATAAATCTATCGTTCGAAGGATTAAATTAAAAAAAGAAAATTCCAGTTTTGTTTCCTGTTCCTGTCTTGTCTTCCTGTTAAACACCCATCTCTCTCTCCTCTGAGACACTCGAATGATAGGACTTATTCTGACTCTGTGGCCCTTTTCTTTTTTTTCTACCAAGCT